AGTTGGAATGGCTGTCAAAGTTGCGATCGATCTGGGTTTGCATCAAGATCCTCCTGCCGAAGTTTCGACTAATCCCGATCGACTTGATATTCGCCGGCGTGTGTTTCATTGCATCTATTGTCTAGACAGGTTCGTTTTAGTTCTACTACTCGATTGTCACCCTGCTAAACTTTTGTTACAGAGGATTGAGTCCTGCTATGCAGAGAACCTACTCGTTCTCCGACGGATCTGTGAATGTTGCATTGCCATCAATTGCCGCACCAGGGGCCCCTATAGACCAAAGTCAGATCTTCCTACGCAGCCCGGAACCTGCTATGCATATCGTCAAAATCCGGCAGATTCTGTCCGCAGGCTACCAACAAATGCACTACAGTGGGCGCGATCCATCCCCCCAGCCCCTAGTCCTCATCTGGACTTTGTGTTGGCGAGCCCGGGAGTGGTTCCATCAATGCCCAAAGAATGCTCCCAACCACTTTTCACTTCTATACCGACTTGAATTATTATACACCATTATCATCCTGCTATCCCCCTCACATCGATACCCAACGCTCCACGACTACAACAAAGCTCTCCTGTTCGACCGATGCATGGACTACATCAGCCAAATCCACCAGGTCCTAGAAAATCCCAGCGCCCTGCCCTTCCTGACATATCTGGACATCCAGCGTGTACACCAAGTGGGCCGGTTATTTGTCAATGTCCTGTCTGACAATTACGACCAGCTCATTAGCGCCGCTGTCCCAGCGCCCCCGCCCGTCCCCGCCGGGACTCCAGAACCGCCAGTCCTGGCCGACGAGGACTTGTTTAATTGCCACGCACGTGCCATCCGTTGCCTATCCTACATCCGCGACTTGCTCAAATATTGTGATAGGAAGTGGGACGTTCATGCACATCTAGAGCAGTTCGAGGACGAGTCTGCGTCCATCGAGAAAACTCTGTTAGATGGCTCGATGGGCTATATGTCGAATCAGGGGATGTATTCTCAAGACCCGTTATTGGGGATGCCGCTGGCCGGCGATGCATACTCGGGGTACCATCTTGGGTGAAATCATTTTCTGGTGTAACATATGAAGGAAAAAATATGAGCGTGATGGATTTTGTTTTTTTGTGAAATACCCCTGTGCATAATGAATAATGTTTACTGCGAATTCGTCTCTGGTTATTACTTCAATTGTATCACGGCAGATGTACAACGCCTACTTGCATACACTTGATATCCGATCCGAAAGCCTCACCGCTATTGTTCTTCGACGATACACCGCAGGTTCAATGCTTGTTTCTAATAATGTCACGAGGTCATAGCGTGCCTAAGGACATTATTAAGACTGGTACTAATCCATCGCATTCGAAGAACCTGGAAAGACTGCACCCGATGTGATAAACGGCAAAGATCGTCGTGTGTAAGACAAAGATAAGAGCAAATGCTTACGCAAACCCGAGCTAGGATCCATCCATGGATGTTTCTAGGCAACCCGATTAACGCAACGCTACTTGAGTCCCGAAAGAGACATTTATGAACGTCGCAAATAGCCATTTTTGTCGCCCAGTATCCCGTCAGCCAGTGTTAGAGGGCAATAATTCCATGATTCGACATGCAGGAGGCTGACCCGATCCAACCATTCACTTGTGGTGAAATTGGGCTAGGTGCAGGCCTATTTCCTTCTGGATGTTTTCATAAGATTTATGGAGTATTGAATTTCTATTGCGCAATATATATACAGTAGCTACCGATACACAGTGTCAGTCCAACTCAGTCCGAGGAATTACTTCTTCCAGACCGAGTGGATAGGCCCAGAATGCCCTTTGTTGAGGGTGGATATATGTACTCCGTACCGTACCGTAGTTGGCAGTTCTTTTATAACGCAAATCAAGGTCACATCGGTGGATTTAGGAGCAGATCGACACCAGCCAAATGTTTACAAACCAGCTATCGAACTTTTGTCACGAACCATTTGGAATACACGTCAGCTATGTATACTAAACATGTTTCATATTACTTACAGTTTGATAAAACTAGCATAGTCCCCAAGTACTCTAATAGAAGGATGATTACATATTAGTTGTTGGATCATTTCCTGCCAATTTGGTAGGTAATACAGTACCCCCTATATTATACTAAGCCGGCAATAGATCGGGCAGAAAGATCAACGAATCATGACATGGGGCTATGGTGGGAAAAATCAAGATATGGTCTTGGCTACAAGGGGCCCCCAGTCTAGTCCAAGTCAATATAGCGGCGTATTTCCGAAGTCCACCTAGTGATCAACAGAGCCTCTTTCGTGCTAACCCTGACGGGGAAGCAAACAGAACATTTCTTGCATCATGCAAGTGCCTGTCAAAATACTCCTATCCCCGCTACTATCGCTCCAGCATATATTGTATATCACAAGCAGTGTACGTTATATGCCGAAATAGGTAGGTCGAATGGTTATCCTCTGTGACAAATATCTCGGGATTGGTCAATAGCCGGGTTCCGCCAAGTACGGAAAGAAATAAGAGAATAGTACCCTGATGTACCTTAGTGGAAGCCAAGCTTTCACATTGGATCCCAAGTCCCGACAGTAACGGCATACTATAGCAGTTCCGATCAGCCAATGGAAATACTCGGCCATTCGGATGAAACGTGGACCCTGGGCAAGTACCGGAAAGTTCCCTTAAAAGTTTATCTTTTTTGAGTATAAATGAACCAATAAGGGTATTTTATATGGCGGTTAAGTGGAGATGAGTCGGTAATTATACAAGCTGATTGGCAATATAAATCTACGCTATTGGACTTAAAAGTCAACTTACGAACTCTCTGCAGATCATTCTTTGTTTCTTTATGGACTCATCCACTCTAATTTCCGAATATCAAAGGGGGAAGGTGAACAGTGGCAAATACTAATAAAGATAAAAAGGTTCTGGCACAATCCCATTTAGAGTAGATATAGAATATCAGGTTTAACCTAGAAGTAGATTATATTTTAGTGATATATGTGCTTTGTGTCTACTCACGAAAACAAATGTTATGGTTAATCCTGTGGATTTACTCGAAAGCCCAAGAGTTTAAGCCCGATAAACCTATGCGCCTTAAAATATGGCCATGCAGATCTCAATTTCGACCTCTTTCAATTTCAACTCTACGATTTGGGATGTCCGTTTCATAATTTAACGAAAACCTTGGTCTTAGGGCTTGGAGCTTGAAAAACTTATGTATGAATGTTATATATAAGCTTCAGCTACATTGCTAGATATAAGTGTGTTTGACGAGTACCCTATATCAAAGATATTTATTGCTTTCCAACGACCCTGCCAATGCCAATAGTCCACATCTGGACAGGCACCGTGCTGACCCTGTTCTGGCTGATTCGGTACATATACCTAGTGGCTCTAAATCCCGGCATAATGGGGTAGTCCCACTTGATATTTCTTTGAGACTCCATTACATTGACCCTATTGAAATCACGTCAACGATGGAGCTGACCCGCCAGGATACTGTTGCTTTCTTGACAGGCTGTAAAATTTTGAACAGGGGCCAGGGCAAGCAAGATCGTACCTGTAGATCACATTTGATTCACGGCGTATAAATACAGTGTTTCTCTGCACTCCCATCGAAGTTCTCTTTTTCTCCCAAGCTTCTTACCGCAGTCATTCTTTAAGCAAACTACAGTCACTCTTTTCAGTTTCCATATACCCATTTATTTTATAATGAAGGCCTCTTTCATCGCTACAGTCGCCGCTCTGGTCGGCTCTGCTTTCGCTGCTCCCACCCCCGTTCCCGTTGGCAAGCTTGATAGCCTCCTAGATGGTCTCAAGGTTGGCGACATCACCAAGGAACTCAAGCTTACTGAGACCCCCGTCGTCTCTAAGCTCGGTGACCTGACCAATGTCTTGCACCTTCCTCCCTCCCCCTCTGCCAGCAGCATCCCCGCTGTCCAAGACGGCCACCTCGTCCAGAACCTCGGACCCCAGCTCGACAACATCTTGACCGTTGTCGGCCCTGACGCCACTACTCTGCTCGTTGAGCTCTCCCCTGAGGTCTCCGCCCTTGTCTCTGGCCTTGGTCTCGGTGCTCTCGGTGCTCCCCTTGGTTCCATTGTCGCTTCCGCCTCCGGCCTTGGTGATCTTATCACTGGCCTCGGCCCCGTCGTCGACGGTCTTGTCACTGTTGTCGGCGCTGACGGCGGTGCTCTCCTCATCAGCCTCTCCCCCGAGGTTTCTAGCCTCGTTTCCGGCCTAGGTCTCCCTACCGTTGGTGTCCCCGTTGGTACCGTTGTTGCTACTCTCGGAAAGAACCTTAAGCGTGGCGAGATTGTCCAGGACCTTGCCCCCAAGGTCAAGACTACCCTGACTGTCACCGGCCAGAATGCCAAGAACCTCCTCATCGAGCTCTCCCCCTCCGTTACCTCTCTCGTTGCTGGCCTCGGTTTGACCACCATCTCCGGCCCCATTGGCTCCATCGTTGCTGAGGCCGCTGACGTTGGTGACCTTGTCAAGGACATCTCCGAGCCCGTTGAGAACCTCCTCCACATTGTCGGCAAGGACGGCAAGAACCTCCTTATTGAGCTGTCTCCCTCCGTCGTTGCCCTTGTCACTGGCCTCGGCCTTCCCACTGTTGCCACCCCCGTCGGTGCCATCCTCACCACCGTCGCCCAAAACCTGTAAATTGTTTACAGGTAGTGTTGTCATTCTGATTGAAAAGTTGGTTTGCATAAGGGCGCTCAGGAGCGCCCGCGTGGCTGGGTTCGCCATCGGTTGACCTTGGTTCCGGCTCGATATACAATCAATTTATTATATACATGATACAAGCTCTACCTTATTTGATACATAAAGACGGCCAACTAAATGTTTTTCTTATGCTGATCGATTTGTGCAAGCGCCTGGAATAGAACTAAATAATTGAAAACCAGAACGAGGGATCCTTCGACATGAGTTGAATAGTTTGGCCAGAAGCTGTCCATAGCTTCTACCATATGATCAACATAGAGTCCGAATCACAAGATACCATAACAGATGTTACTTTAGATTGCACCGGTCTTGGTGTCCCCATATGCTGGGGCAGGGTAGTCGCCGAAACAGCTCTCCTCGAACTTCGCCTTTGCAATGTTTTCCTTCTGAGCCTTGATGAACGTCTGCAGCTCGCACCATCCGTCATCCCGTTTCCCACACTCTGGAATACTTCGTCCGAGAGAGATTGTCCTCTGATTGATCAACATATGCACATAGGTTGTTTCACCCCCCTTGTGCTCATATGGAGAGTCGTGGTGATCCTTCGAGCGCTTCGCACGTACGGGCCGCGGCGCTTTGATAATCTCAATATTGAAGCGGGCTGCAAATGGAACAATATGGCTGACAATCAGTTGGTGGTCCTTCGGTGGTCCTGAAGTGGGCAGGAAGTCCTCAAACTGTGTGAGGCCTAGCGCGGTCAACATCGAGAACATAGTGGTATCGTGGCTGAAGTCCAAGTACAAGTTCTGGTTCAAAGGGAAACTTGTAGGGTTGGTATCCAACGTTTCATTGATGGCACCATAACCCTCCTCCGGTTGAGGGAAGCGGTGCTCGAGTCGGGCGACGAGCTCTTGAACGTAACCCACGCCCACTGCCCGACCGGTGGGAGACCCAAATCCGTTTCCTCCATAATAGTTTAGGGCAAAGGTATACTCAAAGCCTTCCCACTCGTCATGGGTAAAGAGGGAGCAGAAGGGGCTGTAGCCTAAGCCGACGGTCTCGTATGGACACATTGTCTGGGCAAGATAAGTGTCCGCAGTTGTCCAGTCTGGGTTCCCTGTCATCGACCGACGGAATCGCTCGGTTGCATGCTTTAGATATTTCTCCTGCCACTGCTCGTTTGCCCAATCTCCACCGGCTGACCGCTCGTTGTTGTTGTTGGGGCATCCCTTATCTCCGGCCAGAGGATTCTTAAATCCAGTTTCTTCAATAATGACTTCCAAAGTGACATTCTCCGCATATTTAGGGCCGAAGAAGCCATTCAGGAAGTTGTCAGCTGACTGCATCATTCGCACTTGAGTGCATGTACGGGCGATAAGTGGCGAGGATGGATCATAAAGTTGACCATAGTTGAACCAATTAAGCACGCCGCTGTCAAAGAGCTGCTGGCGCCCAAGAGCCGTCAGCTCTTCTTTACCCAGACGATATTCCCAGGTGTTGAGGAACTCCAGATTTCCAGTGAAGCGAGTTCCGTTGCCGAGAAGTTCCGCTATACGGTTTGGCAGTTTAGCCACAGCGGCGCTAGAAGTGGGATACCGAGATCCATGTCGATGTACCATATGCATCTGAGTGATATTGCTACCAGGGGGAAGTGAATATTCTTTAACCCCGAATCCAGAAGGATTAGGCATGTAAGGCCTTCAATATTGGCTCCATGGTTAGTCAGGTACAAAACAAGCTAAGCTCTACCCATACGTACGAGAGATTGCCCATAAGTTTGAATGAGTCAGCGCCATCACCCTTTCCGATGATAGGTACATCAGTCACCACCGGGGTATTGGGCATATAAGCATGCTTGCCAAACGGAGCTGGGTTTGTCTGGGCCAGGAAGGGTGCGCCTCCGGCCTCCGTCGGACCTGTATATCTGTCAGCACCTGAGAAACATCAATGGGAGTTGGGATATATATACATACCAGCAAATGGGCCATAGGTGGTCTGGAAATAGTCTGGGATTGTGGGTGTTCCTCTTGGCTTTATGGCGGCAGCGTCCACGGCTGTCGCAACCCCAAGAAGTAGGAACTGAGAAGAGATATGCATTGCCAATTGAGTAAATATAAAACTCAGCCTTATTTGCCTTATTTATTTTTGTCTGGTACTGTTCTACCTTTTATAGGGCTGAGATGCGGAGGTGAGTCCCTTAACTAAATCCTGTGATAAACGGTTTCTCATTAGCCGACCCCCGGATGTCGGTAAGTTCCGACTTTTTAACGAGAAATGTCAATTTTCAAATCCCCGTGGGGCCCCGCGTTTTTTTCAATTGTTCAATACCCCCTCTGTCTCCATAGATGGTAATCCCCGTATTCCGGCTCGGTAACAAGCTTCTTTCCAAGAGACACGCCAAGAGTATTCGCCTATCTACTCCGTATTGGACGCCACATTATTCTCGGAATCATGTTTCCTGAAATGAACCAATTGAAATCTCCTTTATAATATTTGGGACGGCGATTGAAGCCAACAATGATCCTATGCTGATAGTATCCATTTTAGAAATCGGCTTCACATCAGTGGCCGACTAACCGGTGGACCCATTTCCCACTTTAACGATTAGCTCTTGAGATATCTGGAGATAGCCGACAGCCTCGGGGGTGCCTGTTCCCTCTACATAAGTAGCTCCGACTCCACATGCTTCGATGCTCCAATAATTATTTCTCACGTCTGTCATTAGTTATATGACTATTCCTCCTCTTGTTCGTATCTAAAGTCTAGGAGTTCAGTCTCGAAAAGGTCAATCATGGCTAAGGACGACATTTCGTCGGCAGGGAATGCCTTCGGGGATGTCGAACGCCAGGATTCTGTGCCAACAGCCAAGGCAACCAACAACGCGAAAGCAGCTACTGAATCGGAGCATAAGATGACCTTGTTACAAGGTATCAGAACTTATCCAAAGGCGATCGGGTGGAGTGTTCTCATTTCCACATGTATCGCAATGGAAGGTTATGATATCAGTCTGGTCAATAATTTCTATGCATTTCCCCAATTCACACGCAAATATGGCGAATTGACGGCAGATGGCTCCTATCAAGTCCCAGCTGCGGTACGTTGAGCCAGTGGCTACTACCTCTTTCTCTCCCTCATTCTTTTCTTGTTACTGATAAAATCGCGTATAGTGGCAAGCTGGTCTCAGTAACGGCGCCTATTGTGGAGAAATCATTGGCCTCTTGATCAACGGATGGGCTTCGGAGAGATTCGGATACCGCTATACAATTATGACTTCCCTAGCTCTGATCAGTATATTCACGGCTATCTTTTTCACGGCGCCAAACATCCAAACCCTGCTTGCAGCCGAAATCCTCGCCGGAGTTCCATGGGGCATTTTCCAGACGCTCACCGTGACCTATGCTTCCGAAGTTTGCCCTGTCGTTCTAAGAGGATATCTCACGTCATATGTCAATTTCTGCTGGGGACTAGGGCAACTTATCGGCATTGGAGTCATCAAATCAATGTTAACTCGAGATGATGAATGGTCATACCGGATCCCATATGGGTTGCAGTGGATGTGGCCAGTTCCTCTCTTTATTGGCATTTTCCTCGCCCCGGAATCACCCTGGTGGTTAGTCAGAAAGAATAGGGATGAAGACGCGAAGAAGGCACTCCTGCGTCTCACAAATGCTGACCGAAACGTGGATTTCAATGCGGACGAAACAATTGCTATGATACGTCACACCACAAATCTTGAAGAGAAGCTTTCGGACGGAGCTACATACTTTGATTGTTTTAAAGGGACCAATTTACGACGAACAGAAATTGTCTGCCTTGTGTGGGCAATCCAAAACCTCAGCGGCAACTCATTTTCCAATTACTCCACATATTTCCTAGAACAAGCGGGATTATCGGCATCCAATTCCTATTCATTCGCGATGGGACAATATGGAATTAACATGGTTGGTGTCTTTGGAGCATGGCTCCTCATGTCCTTTGGAATTGGTCGAAGAACGCTATACCTCTATGGCCTCTGTGGACTATGCACCATACTATTTTTGCTTGGTTTCCTCGGCCTAGTTCCTGAGTCACATAGGGATCAAGGATCACTTGCAACAGGTTCGTTGATGCTCTGCTGGGCGTTGTTCTACCAGCTTTCCGTCGGAACTGTCGCCTATTCGCTCGTGGCAGAAATATCTACTCGTCGGCTCCAGATCAAGACTGTGGTGCTCGGTCGTGTCCTATACAATGTTATCGGTATTATCTGTGGTGTGCTAACTCCCTATATGTTGAACCCTGCCGCCTGGGATTGGAGTAATTTTGCAGGCTTTTTCTGGGGAGGAGTTTGCTTTTGCTGTGTTGTTTACACGTTTTTCCGAGTGCCAGAAACAACTGGTCGCACTTTTGCTGAACTTGATATGCTGTTTGAAGAGAATGTGTCGGCCAGGAAGTTTTCGAGCACCCAAGTTGAGGTATTTGGAGATCGAGAGGAAGTTGAAGTGTTCGAGCATAATGCCAAAGCATGAGGAACGTATACTGTCAGGTCCGCGTGAGTGTCAGGACAGGGAGTTTTAGTCTATGGGGGCGGGACATTTGCTTTGTTCTATCTTCAGCTTATAATCTGGATCTTCGAATCCATCTACAACCAACACTCTTAGGCGAAATCCAACCTATTGAGATTTATTGTTTTTAATATACACAGTCCCTTAATCTACAGCAGTTCCCCAGGAACACCTATGCATAGTAAATGGCCAGATCTCGTGAAGTTTCCCATAGGCACATTGAGAAATAGTCTTAGGGTTCAAGGAACTTTGAACTCATGTTTGACGCCTCGGTGCGTCAATAACCTTTGGAGATCATGTATAGAGTACGAAAAGGAAGAAAATTGCTGCACACCTTTCTATGCACATTGAGGGCCGAAACTTCAATAATGGCGGTTTGGCCGAGTGGTCTGAGGCGATTGAGTATGTTTCTCTTCACAGACATACAGTCCACTAAACATTCCCTAACAATCTAAAGTATAACTAGCGATCAGGTTCAGACGGACTGGGTTGATATCTTGAATTTTTTATTTTGGAATGGCAGAAAAGTTAAGATGGTTGATTCCTAGTTCCCGCCTAGGTGGTTCTGTTAAGGTTATTTCCATGATATGTATAACTAACTACATGACAGCAACTATATGGAGCTTATAATCTTGTACCAATCCACACATCTCCATCTTTTTTAAAGTGTCTACAATAAAAATGGGAGCTTTGATCCGTACAATTCATGTATCTCCGTACTAATGTATGAAATTTTTATACAACATAATACATAGCAGTTCGTTAGTTGATTGGTTAGTTGGTTAGTGGGGTGGTGTAAAAGGTGGTGCTAATCCAGGGACCAAGACGCCCGCCCTTAAGGGACCAAAAAAAAAAAAAAAAAAAAAGAATGAAACGACGGCTGCATGATTCGAACATGCGCCTCCGAAGAGAATTGATTTCTAGCTGTTTAGATTGTTAGTGAATGTTTGGTGGACTGTATTTTGTGAAGTGAAACGTACTCAATCGCCTTAGACCACTCGGCCAAACCGCCATTATTGAATTTTTGGGCCACAATGTGTACTATAGAGGTCATAGAAGATATACAAATTAGGCTAGTAAAGGGCAGCTTACCTAGTTTTAGTCCCCCTATTTGTGTTGTAATGTATTGTCAATGCCCAGGTGGCTATCTTTAATACATAACTAGCAAAGTATCAGCCTGTACAGAGTATGGAGTTATCGGCTTAAGGATGTTAATTTCTTTTAGATTTAGGTTTCAGACTTGGCCCTGAAGACTGCCTCCACATTCACATTTATTACTTTAATTTATTATTATAAAATACGTGTTTCTCAGGGCTATTCACTACCTTTGTTCATACTACCCAAAAAGGCGCAATGCCATAAATGGCTTTTACAATATGCGACAGGCCTTGCTTAGAGTTCGCCTGTCTATCTCTATATTGTAGTTCAGGCAGTAGACTATTGTGTCTCTATATTACTCTACTGATTTTGGTCTTGTGCCCCTGGCAAATACTGTTTTGAAACTATACGGTTCTCTCCCGGCTGTTTGTATGTGGTTGTCTAGGGGAAACTACGTCTATCCAATAGCTTTTAGTACAACAGTATCTTTGTATTGTATACATCTGTCTACAGTCATTACTGCAACTTTATAGCCTTTTTTTTATGAAATATAGAGTTCTAACGTGGATATCCATGGATGTCGGATAGAAATTGGCAATAATTCGTATACCTCCACGTTGGAGTATAATACGCTGGAAAAAAAACAATACCCTACATTATCACACCGTTACAATATCCTCCGCGGCAGGCTACCGCTACGTTAATTTCATCCGGCTATAGATCATAAGGGTCTCCTATTTGATCAAAGAGGTGTTCGGAAAATGTTTTAACAAACGCCTTTCACTCGTGCATTTCAAATACTGACCTCTCTATTCTCGAGCTTTATTTTGGCCTCTACCTACAAGATTTATACTTAAGTCTTAATCTAACATAGTTAGCTCCACTACTAATACAATGGTTGGTCCACAAAACCGCGAGAGGGCTCTACAGGCCTCGAGATCCGTAGGCTAAGTATACGAGCACAGTAGAAGCACCCGCCCAACGCCTTGGACAAGAAATTTGTTGAAGCTTAGATACCCTCAAGGCTTCCCGGAGCAAACACGATACTCTTTATACTGCTATCTAGAGCGGGGGAAAGGTTGTCAAATGGCTTTGGATTTTTAAAGGGAAAGTCCCCTATCTCTCAGTAACCGTGCTAACCGGCCAACAATTTGTTGTTGTTAGTATACGTTAGTATACTCTTTAATACCCAGCGAGAGATGAGCGAAGCCTGTCCCTCTTCGACCTCCCGAGGGGTATAGGGATGTGCTATGCCGTGGATATATGTACATTGCTTTGTGCCACCCTAGAAGGCATCTCAGGCTTCGGTGGATGTGGTGTAATTTTCATCGACTGTCTGCCCACCCCGTCTACTATGGTTGTCAGATGCAGTCTTCTTGTGCCTCTTGGTCCGATCTTAGAAATGGTCTTTCTGGGAAGGAGATAATTAAAAACAAAGGCAAAAAAAAGGATTAGAACGACGGCTGCATGGTTCGAACATGCGCCTCCGAAGAGAATTGATTTCAAGCTGTTTGAATTGTTAGTGAATGTTACTAAATTGTTTAATGAGAAACGTCAAACGTACTCAATCGCCTTAGACCACTCGGCCAAACCGCCATTTTTGATAAGTAATCCAAAATATGCATATATGAAGTGCTCTAATCATAGTGTATCATAAGTCATGTGATAGGTATAATACTGTAGGGATACCATAGTAGTTTATGCAGTCAGGTGATAATCCCTGGACCAGGAAGCTTTATACCCGAAATGGACAAGGGGTGTGCAGTTAGTAAAAGAACCGCGCTAACCTTTTGGTGTCCAGATAGTCATTCCCCTCGCATACCAAAAGACTCCAACCTGGTTGTTGTGTATGATTTTAATTTACGATACAGTATAACTAGAGCGGTGTAGAGAGGAATCACAATTCCAGGGGGGTTTGCACCCTAAACGCTATATGACAAGGTTAACATCAGCTCCATAATTAATCATCTGATATTTGATTTCATTCATAATGCCAACATTGGCCCCCTATATCATCCAATGGCGGTTTGGCCGAGTGGTCTAAGGCGATTGAGTACGTTTCTCTTCACAAAAAATTAATCCACAAACATTCACTAACAATTCAAACAGCTAGAAATCAATTCTCTTCGGAGGCGCATGTTCGAATCATGCAGCCGTCGTTTCATTCTTTTTTTTTCCTTTTGCAAATTTTAGAAGAAATCGGCCTAGAACCGGAACTAGCAGGGTTTGCCGTAAATCGGAGTAGAAATTCTGCTACCCCCAAGTTATGCTCCAAACTACGGAATAGGTTTGTATCAATTCATAGAGAGTTGGGTCGGGACAGAAGTATAATTTTAATCCTAAATTTGAGCTATCCTAGAGGCAGTGTAAAATGATCAACACTACGGAGTACGGAGTAAGAGATTAATCATTAATCTACCGCTAGTCCATACGCGTTAGAACCAACAACTAGGGACAGCTAGACATAGTCTATAGCGTTCTAGAATTCACAATAGACTCGGAAAACATTATCGGATCAACAATTTGTATTCCAGTACCTCGTTATCGTCGATATTGTGGTATAAAGGATTACCGTTTTTCTCATGCCAAACCATGTCGCGTTACACCTAGGCTTCTTTCTTACCATCTCCGCCTTGGGGACCTAATTAGGTCTCGGATCAGGCGAGAAGACGGGCAAAAAAAGTGTGCCATTGAGGACTTTGGTCCTATGTTATTTTTGTCGGTAGAATATTACTATCCATCCCTATTTCATAGTTCAATAAGCGATTATATGGACATATATTTACTAGGAAGGAAGCCAGGAACCCAGGAATAAACGTATTGGAATCAATGCCAATGACGGTACGCTACATCTGGATTATCACCATTGTCTGAAGGGGGCGAGAGGAAGCGAGTCAACAGAACCCGTGACTATGATATTCATTCGAGATAGCGTTACATACCTCCATATTCTGCTGGGAAATATCGTGCCATCTGCTCCCAATAGCCGAGGAAGCTCCTGCATACTCACTTAAACGAAGAATGAAAGCCGAATGCTGTAAATTAATTTCAATTCCGCCTCATCATGTCACTTATTGAGGTACCACTGTCGGATCCGACGAAGGGGGCTACGCATCGTTTTCGCGTTCCTTGAGAATAATCATCAGGCGATCGCTTCCTATCGTGTTATTCCGGAAGCCAAGGATTTGGCGAGAACTACAAGGATGCCATGGGTTATGGAGACATGAGCCATCTGATTGGAACGTTGCGTTCTCCTTTAGGTCGTGGAAGCAGAGCCCATTTTGTTTGAAAGTTAATTTACGCCGAGGGAAAATTCTATAAGGTTTTCTATTTCACTTTGACATATTATCAAATCATATCGTGTAATTCATGAAATGATATGCAGTGATCGGGATTGAACGAAACCGAATTCCGTTAGATATTAAATCTAATGTCTCAAATCTCCTGGTATACAACATATAAGGTGCCAACAAAATGAAGAGCTTGGGGTGGCTTAACGGAGACACCGGTAATAACCAGCACCTGTTTTATAATTATGTAGGTAGTACTACGTAGATCTATCCTGCTTCCTCTCTCCTTTCTCGTTATCTATCCCATTTGATAAGAAACCGTAGATGTAGTTTCTCCACAAAAATCTCCACTGTATTGTGATTCCTAGAAAAAAAAAAAAAAAACTAACGTGCTCCAACATAGATAAGGTTGGCGCCCCCGAATAGTAAAAGCCATGACAACGCTTGGCAGTTTCAGTTCCCAGGTTCTCAGTACAACTGTATAATCATCAGTATAGCATTCAATTGGCCCCCTATTCTAATCGTAACTGCTCCACAGAAGCATTCTCCCCAAGTAAAAGTAAAGAGGTGTTTACCTATAACATTCACATCCGACGTTTAAACATTTCTATGCATATCTCACAATACACTGATGCAATAGACATAGATAAAACTGGTGAATTCGCATGATAAAGTATTATTGAAACCATGGAAAACATGGGCAATAACCTTTGGTACGTACCTCGAGTCGCCCCACATAGTTACATTTGGGATGCAAGCGTCCTATCAGAAGATCACTAGAGTCCGCCATCGGGGGCTTGCCCGAAGATGCCCCGATTTTGTCCCTTCGAGAAACCAATTGAAATTAATCTATATCAACTTAAACGCCTATCTTCGACTTTCTCCGCCACGTCCTGCCGTTTTGCCTTCCCTCTTTTACATCTTCCCCCCCCTTCTTTCGTTCCCCTGTGAATATCTTGAGATGTGTGTTTTATAATTATACCTACCGCTTACACCAGCGATGTCCTCATGTCGCATGCCGAAATCTCCGGCAATTTCAGCATCGCTGATCGCTCCGTAGATGGCCGATTCGCGGAGCGTACCGTAATCGCGTGCTTCATCGGTATTTCCTGGTATAATGCCTTGGAATTGATTGTTCTGTGCTTCACGACCTTCAAGCGATATGGCGGTTGTTATTTCTGGTGTCTTCTCATCTCCTCCTTCAGTATCATCCCTTTCGGTCTCGGATATGTCCTCATCATCTTCAAGATATACGCCAACATGTTCCCTGTGGCGATGGAGCTAGTGGCTTGGATTGGGATGGTAACAGGCCAGTCCCTAGTCCTCTGGTCTCGATTGCATCTTGTATGTCACAATCCAACTGTCCTTCGCGCCACCCTCGCCATGATCATCGTCGACGCGATCGTCCTGCACATTCCCGGATCCGTGCTCGAGCTTGGCAGCCATTCGAACAAGTCCTACATCTTTACCCACGGATTCAACATCTTCGAGCGCATCCAATTGGTCGGGTTCTCTATACAAGAAATCATTCTCTCCATCATCTATTCCTGGGAAGCTGTGAGGTTACTGAATCTCCGCCCAAGAGGCCGTTACCGAGGTACCCTGGTCCAACTCTTGATCGTGAATGTGGCCATGATTATCATGGATTCCGCCATCATCGGAGTACAGTACTCGGGCTTCTTCGACATCCATGTCGCCCTCAAGGGAATGGTCTACAGTGTGAAACTCAAGCTGGAATACGCGATCCTCGGCAAACTGGTGGGCATCACCGAGAACGGCGGCAGCGGCAGCTCGGCCCTGACCGACCTGTCGGAGTTCGTGGATCTTTCTTTCCAGAATCCTGGCACCCAGCCGGATAGCGACATGCACGCAGAGAATGCAGAGTACAGCGCACACTCTCGTAGGCGAGCCTCCTCCAAGGGCTCCTCCACCGACCCTCTGAGAGGGAATATCTCTGCTGTCTAGAGTTCGACGCCGAGTAAACCGGACTCCTGACGATACTACATGTAAATAATGATTTCGGTATTTTTGTACATAGCAACTACTCAGTATAAATCACGACATACACTGTACTCCATCTCACTAGTCGAATGTTAACCGTTCCATCTATGATGAGGGGAAAGCAATCCCCCCCACCTCTTATCTTGCACCGTCGGATGCCGCCGAAAACTTGCAGATACAAAACTGAGCACGATATATGTATATAACAATCCACATTTTCCGAACCCACAGAACCCACCAAACCCACTCAGATATTCTCACCCACCCAGCTCCACAATACAAACCAGACCTCGCAATGACCACCCTCAGCCCCCTAACACAAGCCCAACTCAACGCCGCATCCAGCGCAGTCCTTATCCACCAAGCGCAAGCACAGGACCTCCACAAAAAGCGACCCTTCGCAGCAATCCTCCTAGCCCCAGACAACGAAACAATCCTCCTCTCCTCGAACTCTCTCTCGCACGTGCGACACGCAGAAAGCGAGCTCGCGCGCAACGCTGCAGACAATTACGACTGGGAGTACCTGGCACGCTGCACGCTGGTATCGACCTGGGAGCCGTGTGCTATGTGCGCTGGCACCATCTACTGGGCGCATATTGGGCGGCTGGTGTATCTGGCGTCGGAGAAGGCATTGCAGGAGGTTATTGGTGTTGGAAATCCGGAGAATTTGACGCTGGATTTGCCTTGTCGGCGGGTCTTTGAGAAGGGGCAGACTGTAGTAGAGGTTATTGGGCCGCTAGTTGAGGAGGGGTGGGAAAGGAGGGCCGTGGAGGATAGTAAGCGGTATTGGGGAGGGAGGGAGGATTAATTGTTCTGAATACTACAAGTTGGTTGTGAACTGCTGCATTGTTCAAGTAGTGTTTGTGTATGGAGCAAGTACATACATACTCCATACAGCTGATTAGATTGGTAGTGGGCCTGGACTGTGGAGTGTGGACCTTGGAGCAAGTTGGGGTTAGTGGTACTTTCATGGGGCTTAAAGGGTTGTGTTTTCTATATATGTCTTGTAGCCTGGTGTTGGTCTGGATGGTAACCTGATGATAATCATCAACAACCATAGTGATGAAGAACACGGGAGGGGAAAAGAGATCCATGGTTTTTCTTTGCTAGCGTCGCATAGAAGCGCCATTGGTCCCGACAAGAATGATGGTCGATTAGGTTCCAGGAGAGTGCCTCCACTAAGATATTTGGAATCATTGACTGTCATCATAAAACCCGATTAGATCTCAATCAGACTAAAGATAAAGAGAGTGTGGAAACATAAAACATAATGGACGACACTATTCTCAATCTAGTAAGGAGCTGGTGCACAGCCCCATATAAGCCACACACTCTTTTTTTTTGGTGAAAGCTTGACCTTCCAAGGTTCTAGCACAATCTTCCCAGGTCAAGTCAAAAATCAATTGTACACTTCCCGTCATGAAGGTCCGAAGTGTTGACGTCAAGTTGAGCAAAATCTGATATAGTGGACCCACACTGATCCATGGATGATGATGCCAAGACCTTCCCATCAAACCTTGAAAGTTTTTTGTAGATCTTGGACCCTCGGGGGAGTTCCCAGGTGGAAATTCATAGGATCTTATGGTTAATTGGGGAGCTATAGCTTTAGCGTGAAAACCTACCAGCCTTGTGGAAATCAAGTGGATGACGTGGATCTGGAGGATAACCCCATGTTAATATGACCTTACATATGACACAACATATGTACTCAAATACTACAACATAAAATAAAATAATAAAAAATTGTTCTAGGCTGAAAGTAAAAGAGAAACGAGACTGGGAGGGAGCAGAATTCCGTGCCACAGAATACAGAATGACGTCAAGTGTCGATCACCAAAAAGCTATAGGCAAATAGCTCTCTTTAGGTAATCTCTATCAAATTGGGCTCCTTGTAGTAGGGATTGCCTCTGGATCCCCCTGCTCATCATAATGGCGCTATGTCCGTTTGTCTTTTATATTCCGTCATCCCTTCCCTCCTACTTTGAATTTTCTTCACCATATTTTCCTTCATTCCAGTGATACCCCTTGTTTTGTGCCTATATAGGTCCAATAAATAGTTAATTGTGAGTCTTGTTTGTCTTGAATGCAAACACCTCTAACCCTGTCTTTAGTCCATACATAATACCTCTTTGACTATCTCATCCCTTCATCATTGGTCTTTGATACATACTTCATCATGTCTGTGAACGTTCCCACCGACTCCAAGCAGAAGGAGAAGGTATGTGTGACAATGTGGCCCCATTGCAACAACCACTGACAGGAAATCCCTCTAGGATATCAACCAGAAGCTTCAATTGTTTGGTATCTACCATGGTAAGCTAAACTTCATCTCATCTTAATTGAGCATTGCCGTGGCTAACTGTCTATCATAGCCTTCAAGAATAGCAAGCTCCCCTCGGTCCGTCTTAATCCTCTTTTGTCGTTACTGTCCTTGCTATAATTGCTAACCCATTCACTGTATCCTACAGAACAAGCAATGTGACATCGCTTTGAACAGTGCCCTGAACTCGAAGGCCCTCAGATCTCCATCCAATGAACTCTCATCCGATGGAAAGACCCTTGTGGCAGACCTGCGCAATGTCATCGACGCAGCTAAGAAGATGCTCTTGGTCAAGAACGAGGGTGAACTCCTGCAGGACTTTATCTGGCAAGCCCAGAAGATTTCAGGCGCAAATGTCGAGGGCAAGCGCCCTGGGGCTCCTATCGACAGGGAGGCCGGTCAGCAAGATGTGAGCAAGGCTGTTGATGGGCTGAAGACTTTGGGCACACTTATGATCACCAACGGAGAGTTTAGAAAGCTATGTAAGTAAACTTCCGTTTGTGGATCACGGACATATCCTGACAATGTGCAGTGAGCGATGCCATGACTCTTGCGAAAGACATTGCTGCCGATGCTTCTCAAAAGGCCGCCAACCAGGTTCGCCCCTCGCAAGAGGAGCTTTCCCAGATCGACCAAGCTGCAGAGGACAATGTGTGGCACGAGAAGCCCAATATCTCCAAGGATGACCTGAAGTCCAAGATGAAGAAAAACAAGGCTAAGGCTGTATGTATCCCTGATGCGGTCTCAATTTACATTTACTGATATTCGTCAAGGAGAACGAAGGCGTTGGGTCGGTCGCTGAGGAGGAGGCTGGCGTGTCACCACAGGACAAGCGCAAGGAATATTCCGACAGAACCAAGAGCTACTTGTCCGAGAAGATTCCCAAGGAGCGTCGCGAGCAGACCGTCTGGCGCCTGAAGAAGATGATCATTGAGATCCAGGGCCATGCAGACTGTAAGTCCACCATAATTTCAATATCGACGGTGGAGATGGCTAACAAATTATGTAGACCAACAAGCCGTTGAGACCTTGTTGAGCATGGCTGAACAATACGCCGGACACACCAAGGAATTCTCCAAGAAGGGCAGTAGCTCTGCCCGTGACGTCTTGAAGACCGACAATGTCCAGGCTGTTCAGTACAACCTGCGCACCCTTATCGAACGCTTTGCCAACCATACATCTCTGGACAACTTCTTCGAGTCGCTAAACACCATTTATCGCGATGCCGAGAAGGACCCTGAACTCCGAAACTGGTTCACAAATGTCGATAACTTGATTCGGTATGTGAATTGGATAGCTCCCCCTCAGAACAAAAGCTGACCAGATATAGCAAATCTCTGCGCGAGCAGGGCTTCATCATGGAGGACGAATGCAACCGCCAGTGGAATGAGATTTACGATAAGGGTCGTTACCTCCTGCGCGAGCGTTACCGCGGTGACGCCGACCGTGTTGTCGACGAGGTTAAGTTCATGGCCGATCAATTCGAGCAGGACCCACAAAATCAGGCCCTTGCCGAATCGTTCCAGAAGCTGTTCAAAGATCTGGGCCACGACGCCAGTGGCAAGGCCACCTTCAAACCGGATCTCCTTCGGGATCTCCGCGATGTTATCATCCCCGGCATTTTCGAGAATGTCCGCTATGTGCCAATCCCTCGTATCGAGGTTTCCGATCCCATGGTCGATGTTGTCGTCGAGAACCTATGCATTGAGGGTGATAACCTGATGCCCAACGTTATCGAGTTCGGCAGCGACAACTACTTCCGCTGGGGCCGCAAGAAGATCACCAACAAGCGTGATAATAAGATCATGATTTCCATGTCTGGCATCCAGGCTGATCTGCGCGATATCAGCTACTACATCAAAAAGAAGGAAGGCTTCCCCGCCATCACTGATCGTGGACTTATGGACATCTTCCTCGGCGGCGAAGGCCTCAGCGTCAAGATCGCCGCTTCTACCGCTCAGAAGAACGACAAGGAGCACTTCTTCAAGCTGGATAAGGTGTCTGTGTCCATCAACAACATGGATATCAAGTTGAGGAAGTCCAAGCACAAGCTTCTCTTCAACGCCTTCAAGCCCATGCTGTTCCGCGTGGTCAAGCCTGCTCTGCAGAAGGTGGTCGAGGGCCAGATCCGGGAGGCCTTCAGGAAGGGTGACCTCTTCGCCAAGGACATCCACACCGAGGCCACACGTGCCCAGGAGGCTGCCCGTGAAGATCCCGCTAACGCGCCCTCGATCTTCTCTCGCTATGCCGATGCCATCCGAGCTCGCACTCAAGCCAAGGCCAAGCAGGCTGAGAACGTTGCCAAGCGTGACACCAAGGTCCAGACCGTCATGACTCTCCACGATTCCATCTTCCCTGAGATCACCCTTCCCGGCGGTGTAACCAACAAGACCACCGAGTATGCTGAGCTGGCCGCCAAGGGCGAGCGCTGGGAGTCCCCCATCTTCAGCATCGGGAGCGCATCCGAGTCCACCGGTATCCCATCCGCAGGCCCTATCACCAGCAAGTCCCACGGTGCCAGCACCCAAGGTGCAGGTGCTGCCGGAGTTGCTTCCGCCGGGGGTGCCACTGGCGCCACCACCGCCGCTTCCAACACTGCTGACGGCACTAACGGCAACAAGGTCTCCGGATACCCAGCCCGTGGCTTCTCCGATGAGGTTGATCAAGCTTTCGTCAATGGCAAGCCCCAGAATGTGGGTGATGCCATTAAGCAAGGCGCCAACGGCACCAATGGTATTAACGGCGTCACCAACGGTACTGTTACTAACGGCACTGCCGTCAACAATATCGGAACTACCGTTTAAATCAAATCTGGCCAAAATCGTTATAACATTCCCGTAACGTTATTTTCTTTTGTGTCTTGATGTTTTTGTTTTGCTATGATTTCCCCTTGTGCACTGGACGTTTTTTTTTTGTTGTACTAGTATTAGTTAACGGTAGCCTAATACATACTGCCACCGTTGTCTGCGTTGATTATTGCGTAAATTGAAGCTTTGGACAAAGCTAAGAAATTTAAAGAAGTTGAGCATATAGTAAGTAAGAGATGAAGAAGGGAGAAGATGCTATATTGGATAATCTTGGTGGGTATTTATACCAATGAAAACATCAACCAAACAGGCAAACTAGCAAATGGGTTGATATCCTAAAGTACTCCAGATTCGTAGATAAAATAAGCTTAAAAAGTCATTCATTGTCGTCTATAAAAAGAAGTAAACTGAACTCCACTATACAAGAAGTCCAGGGAAGATAAAAACCCCATATTCTCTTTTTCTTTTGGCGTCTGCTTTCGTATAAAAATCTCGTATCAAATCACAAATCACAAATGTCTGCAGGCTTACCATCTACATCTGATCAAAGTACTTTTGCCAACCCAACTCGCGCAACTTGGTACCCTTCAACTCCATGTTCTCGGCACGGGCAGCCTCGGCGTACGCCTCGACCTTGCGCTGGATGACCGGGTCGAAAGAGCCAAGCACACGCGCGGCGAGAAGGGCAGCGTTAATGCTGTTGTTGATGCCGACAGTAGCGACGGGGACACCTATTGTGAAATGTTAGATATATAGGTCGTGTTAAACTAGATGGGTGTAAAAATGAAATAAAGAAGTTAAGTAAAACGTATAACTTACCACGCGGCATCTGCACAATGCTGTACAGACTATCGACACCGTCGAGCGAGCTCCCCTTAACCGGCACACCAATAACAGGGAGAGCAGTGTGAGCAGCTGCCATACCGGGAAGATGGGCAGCACCACCGGCGGCGGCGATGATCACCTTGATTCCGCGCAAGGCAGCCTGACCGGCATACTCGGCCATGTAATCGGGAGTGCGGTGAGCAGAGGTGATCTCAACCTCGGGCTCGATGCCGAAATAATCACGCAGCAGCTTGAGGCCTGGGACGAGGGTCTTCAGATCGCTGTCGGAACCCATGATGACAGCGACGGAGGGGGTGGGTTTAGAGGGACCGGAGCGGACAGCCTTAGTTTTGATATCGGGGCGCTCAGCGCGCATGGTGTCGACGACGTCAACGAGAGGCTGGATCATAGTCTCAGCTTCGTGCATAGTCGCGCCGGTGACGGTGACGTGACCCATTTTACGGCCAGGCTTTGCGGCGCCCTTGCTGTAGAGATGGATGCTGGCGTTGGGGATGGCGAGGGCGGCTTGGGTGGCCTTAAGGTGGGAGTCGGGAGTTGCGCCGCCGATGATGTTGAGCATGATTGAGGGTTGGAGAAGCTCAAGACTCTTGGGTGGGATGGGCAGGTCGAGAATCGCGCGGATGTGGCTGTCGAATTGGGACAGCGCGCAGCCTTCGATTGTCCAGTGGCCGGAGTTGTGGATTCGGCTTGCAAGCTCGCAGAGCATGAGGCTATTGTCTTCTAGGAGGAACATCTCCACACCGAAAGCGCCTTTGCCTTCGAAGGCGGAGACGGCTTTGCGGGCGAGAGCTTGTGCTTGCTGGTTGATGGCATCGGAGACGTTGCGGGCTGGCGCATACACCAGCTTGCATATTGAGTCCTCTTGGACGGTCTCAACAGTGGGGTAGGAGAGGACGTCATCTTTGGTTTTGATTACCATGACGGCAAGTTCCTGTAAACAATTTTTGTTAGAGACGTGCATGAATTGGTGTGTTCAACGCCGACACTAACCATCTTGAAGTAAGCCCATTTTTCAGAGTAGAGCGGGCGGTCCTTCAGAGCCTCGAGGGCCTCGGGGATATCTTCTTTGGAGTTGACACGGAAGTTTCCTTTGGTAGTGTCAACAAAAATGTATACCGTCTCGGCATCACATATGACTCACCACGTCCGTCATATGCCATAGTCTTCGACTTCAACATCATCGGGTAGCCCAGCTGCTCTCCGATCTGAGCCAATTCCTCGGGTGTGTTGTTCACCAGCTCCCGGTGCTCAGCCATAGGGATTCCATATTTGCGGAGGTGCTCCTTCTGGTTGAACTTGTTCTGGATTGTCCGGATAGCCTGCCAGCTGGGCTCCACCCGTACCTTCGACGCAACCTCCTCAAGAGCGTATGTATCGACGTGCTCAATTTCGGCAGTGATGACGTCGCAGGTCTCAGCGAGTTTGCGTACGGCATCAGGCTCCTTGAAGGAGCCAGTCACATGGCCATCGTGGGAACTGATCTGCTTGGCGGGAGAGTTGTCGACGTCTAGGACATTGGCCTGAATGTTCAATCGATTGGCGGACTCAACAAGCATGCGGCCCAACTGGCCACCGCCGAGAATTCCGACCTTTGGTGAATTCCACATGCTGTCAGATCGGAGGGATAAATGAGTCAATTGATCGGGCTATGTCGAATGGGAGATCGACGGTGCCCCTCAACTCCGAAAATTCGTGGAGAGTCACGTGCGACTGTCGATAAGCTCAGGCCAATCACCGATGTCGCCTGCCGCGCGCCCAGGTCGCAGCTTCAACTCTCTCTGCTTCTCCATGCACAGCTGACTGGACAATGTCTCTGGGTAGGTTGACCATCACAGTTGTAGTCTCAGTCTGAGTTGCAATAGGCTTTGCTAATATCAAAATTACAGACGAGGAAGCTCTCCAAATAGCCGCCAATGGCGGCCCCATGGATTTGTACGTGAAACTGTCATGCCAAGATCCCCAAACACTTCTTGAGGCTAACGCGCTGATGCAGAGAGAGATGGCACGGCATGGCTGGGCCACTGATTGAGCGGCTGGAATATGTGCGCTATACTTGGATGCCCCTGACCGACTTATCTGACCATTTGAGATCTAGATCGTTTACAATGTGTTCCCAATGCCTCAAGTGCGCCCCGAACCCATCGGCCAGCAACCATTTCCCAACCATTCTTCCCAGGAAAACCCCATTCCACCCGAAAGCAGCAACAAGGAAAACACCTCCCCTGCCGATATTCAGACTTCACTCCAGGCAGCGCGAACAGGCTCTTCCCCGTCGGATGAGCGAGTGCCAGACTCACAGCCTCAGCCATCTGGTGCGAGCACGGATGGCCGGCTTCCACCTCAGCTTGCATTTCTTCTGAGCGCCATCCGCTCGTCTATTAAATCCTTCTTCGAGGATAAACCCCCACACACCATTCAGAGGCTCGCAGAGCTGGTACTCTACCCGACCAAGCACTATAGAACGTTACCCGCATACCTACGTGCTGTCGATCGTGTTGTCTCAGTCACAAGCTCCGCAGATATTTTCCCATTTCAGACGTCGGCTGGCACGAATGCTCAGACAAACGGGCTAGGTCTTGCTGGCAATAACGGTGGGGCTTATATGCCCCCCGACTTTGCACACAGTCTTGGAAGCGACGAATCTCTGGGCGGTGCGCTACTTACTCCGATCCCGTGGTTAACCAATGCCTCCTTTGAAAGCGAGGATGCCAATGGAGATGCAGGCATACTAGTCGAGGGTATGTTTATCCATTATTATCGAGCTACTAATTTCCTACTCGCTAACGTTTCCTGCTAGGCACTGAAGCTTTACCTACACAGCCCCAGGAGGAATCGGGCACCACAACTCTAGTAGCCCCCGAAGCCGAAGAAGGGGCTGCTACCGCCTCACCAGAGCCCTCTGATGAGGTCCCTCATGCTCGTGGCCCAGTTCTCCTCGGCGTGGAAGACATGGGTCTTCAAGATGGCAAAGGCATCGAGATGCGTCTTAGCACAGATGGCGCCGCCGATGTCCCGGCTGCAGCCGCTGCCACTGCTACTCAGGCAATAGAAGAACAGGAAAAGGCCGAATCAACTGCCGACAAGGACGGTGATATTGTCCTTGCAGACACGAAACCGAAAGAAGAAGAAGCCAAGAAGGAAGAGGACCCTTCTACAGAGCCCCAAGCAGGCAATGCAGAACCTGAACCCACTGGTGATTCATCCGAAGCGCCGGACGCCGAGAAGAAAGCATAAGCGACTCACTGGTTTTTGATTTGGTTTTTTCTTTTTCTCTTCTGATTTTCTCGGTTGGCTTTATCCTGGATTCTAGCATCATGAGTGACGACCTTACAAGATTACATCGATCGATTTTCAATGAAAGGCTTTTGCAATGCCAATATTTCTCTATAAATAGCTTGGGCTTGTTGGTTTCATTCATTTGAAATGGAACTATCAACTAATGAGACGGCCCTCCTTATTGTATTTCTTGCCAAATCACTCCATATATACAACAATATGCGCTTCTGGTGGCCCTACCTCCAGAGCCTTGGGCGCCATAAGATCGAATCTATATAAATAAACAGCGCACTTAAATATTAGATGTGAGAAAGACTAAGAACTATCTGAAACGATTACAGGCATGGGGGTTGTCTGCTAGATCACTTGTGCATGGAATCTCGAAATATTCCAATCGAAAGTCTTCCACCAAAACACCAAGACTTACAATAGATATATATTAATCATATGCAAACCAAACAAACAATATAACGTGGCGTAAAGCCCCTACCGATCTCCTGAGGTCCAGAACTCCCCGCAAGGTCTGGGCCCTCCTGGACCTTGAAAGGAGTCTTTAAATATTTTAATTTCGAGGTCTAGACCCTACTTCACCCCTGCAGTGCCTATGAGAGAATGCGATTACTGAGGTTTTTGTTTCAACCCAATTCTTTCATGTTCAGAATATAAGCTCCCTGCTCTGAAATGACGGACCCCTGCGTGTACACAGGCACACAGAATGTGAGAGTAATAATATATGTTTGTAAATATGTACCTGACGAAACAATCCGTAACCTTAGAAATGCATGAACCCAACGGTGGGTATAGCTGACACATATGAAGTCGCGCACAAGTTCGCCACCCAATTTAAATCAAAACCCAACGCCGGAACCTGTAAAAGGCGGGGGACAACCGCGATTCAAGACGCAAAGAGTAGCAAAATGTACGATTTGGAATTTCGAATCCTCGTTATAGACAAGTGGGAATCGTGAGTCAATGGACAGGCGGAAAGGTGAAGTGTATAGAGAAAAAGAATAAAAGCCAATGGCTAGAAGTTGGTTTAGCCAGGTCGTCCAGCTTGCACGGCTAGCATTGGTTGTTGAGGTTGGGAGTACATGCGCTGTCGTTTCGGCATGTTGGGGTTGTCGGTGGCACTGGCCATATCAGAGATTTGACGGCGATGTGGAGGACGAATAGCAGCGGCCCCGGTTGGGACACCGACTGATGGTGCTGGGTACTGGACGCCATTCTGGTCAACAGTGTAGGCGGCCGGCGGGGCTGTAACATATGCTCCTTGAACTGCTGGCATATTCGGTGGAACAGCCTGCATGTTTTGGAATTGGCTGGGTGATTGCCAATTGTTCATCGACGCAGCGGGCGACTGGCCTGGAGAGCTGTCTTCTTTGATCGACTGGGTTGCTGAATTTTGATTTGCAGCTGCCATAGTCACAGCGGCTGCCGAAGGCCGTACTGGCTCCATTCCTGGGTTTTGTGGCGAAATCTTGAGATGATCCAAATGTCTCTCAAGCATATCGAGGAGACTCTTGCGAGTGAATGGTTTCGGAAGAACATCGTCCATTCCTAAAATGGGTTAGTGGAAGACCTTGATGCAATTTTGAGGTTTGTCTTACCATGTTGGAAGTAGAGCTGGATGTCGTCGCTTCGGATGTTCGAGGTCATGGCGATGATAGGAGTGCGATCAAATTGGCGAATGAGATGGCATGCCGATACACCGTCCAAATTTGGCATAATGATGTCCATTAGGATTAAATCGTATTTTGAGCCGCCCTGAATTTTGTTCACAGCCTCCAAACCGTCAAACTATGAGAAATATTAGCAACCTTGGGCTAATGGGATAAAGACAGAGAACGTACCGCGGTATCAATTACACACGAGAAAGAGTACAAAAATTTGCCGCCAATCTGCCGACAAGTGGCATCGTCCTCAACCAAAAGGATTTGTGGGCTGCGCACCCAGCCAGGGTCCACATTCGTGCTTTTTTTCCGGTTGTCCGGAAACTGTCGACGAGCATCCGATGTATCCATCTCCTGCTTGGCGGGCATTGGGTATGGAACATTATTGATATGTTCGCTGTACATGGGATCAATGCCATTTGTGGCACCCACGGGATACACCACTTGCTCCAAATCGCCGGCCATTTTGGGGTAAACGAGTGCTGGGTTTGGTGGTGCAGTTGTTGCCGGACGGAGCGAACCATTTCGAGCGTTTGGATCCATGGTGGGAGTTGACACGACAGGCTTTTGAGGATCATTCATCGAATCGACACCGTTCATATTGAATTGTAATTCGGCATTCATATCATTCAGGAGTTTTGAGGCTTGCTGGAGGGGCGATGAGGGTTCATCATCCACTGTGCCAACCTGGGAAGGGCTCATTGTTGTTCCAGGCGCTTGGAATGTCACAGCCTTGCTGTCTCGACGTTGGCGCGCATCCACCGAAAGTAAGTAGGTCATCACCTGGTGAATGACATTCTCATGATTTAAAACCGTCTTCTGCACTCGCATTACTTCCTGTAGCATGAGCTGATGATCCACCGTGAGCTGGGCATATCGGTCTGATAGATGTTGGATCTGCTGCTGTTGCGCGACGATCTGCTGGTTAAGAAGATCAATCTGTTGGGTTGGTACGGAATCATCGTTGGTTTGGGTTTGTTTTCGTGGTGCGGGGGCCTTTCGTCGAATGTTGTCGAGTGATTCTTTGCTATTTGCGCGGAACTCTGGGTGTTTAAATTCCCATGCCTGTGTGATGTGTGTGAGCCCCTCTAGCTGATCTTCGAATGGGGGAGGTGCCTACATTCTGCCCGTATGGTGACTGGCCATTTTCTTCATTGTTTTGTCGAACCTTGTGGAAGTCATATTTATTCAGTTGGCGTACAAAACTGGCAAAGTTGCTGTGTTTAAAGTGCTTCGGTAGGATGGTCTTGGTAAATTTCTCGCACTATCGAAATTTTGAGTTAGCCAAGTACAAAGAGATAGAGAATCGGCCATACAAAGCCACGGGCGCATTACCTCCAATACGACAAAGGAATCCCCTTCATCACCCCAGCGTACGATAGACGCATAGGTTGGGTCTTCCAACATTCTAGGAATATCAGATTAAAAGCTCAGGTATGAATTTTGAAGAGTACTCACTTGTATAGTTTGCGTACCTATTCATATTGTTAGTAAAAGAAGATATCAAAACATAGGGATTTTTTTTTCACTAACAAAATCGCTGGAGTTCCCAGCGGGGGCGGGATTGGAAGAGGTCTGGCCACCGTCCATGCTGGGCTAGACGGGTCGCGACCGGTCGAATAGATAGGCTGGTCTCGTCCCAACGATAAACTCGATTGTAAATAAAACGGGGATGTTCGATCACAGGAAAGAAATAGGGAAGAAAACCAGACCTTTTCGGAGGGTGGGAAGAGAGAAAAAAAAAATGAACGGGGGGTTCAGTTACTGGGTTTAGCGGTAGAGCCAAGTACCAAAGTTACTGTGGAGGTACTGACTGGTACATGCGATTGACTTACCTATTACTTTATTTCATTTTATCTTATTTTACTATATAAATATATCTTGATATTTGATTTTACTGACATTTCTTAATGCAAGGAGGTCGATCTTGAATATCCCAGGACTCAGGGACCAACGAGGGGCAAAATTCCAGTATGTCACACATATCCCCTAAAGAACCTAAAGAGGTACTAACGAGGTATTGTTTAGGTACAAGTTCTTAGGGAAAAAATAGAGAGAGAAAAAAAAATCTTCATACTCAGATCTTATTCGTTATTAGAAGAGATGCAGGATATGGAGGGGATCGTGTCAGTGCGCACGAGATGGAGGGGGGCATTCCCCCAATGACTTGATGAAAATGGTGAGACATTGAATTAGCGTGGAGATATCAAAGAATATCGGGTAAGTAGCTCCACTGAAAACGCTTTATGTTATATTGAATCAGCCCTGTCATTCTCGTGTCTCATCAGTTCGAGGTTTGGTTGAACAGGTTTGAGAGTGAACTACTTACCCACCTTAACCGAGAGCCGATATTGAGATAAATCATATATATGGCATCTTATGATCCATTACCTACACTTTACATGATTCAAGGTTATACAGAGAAAGTTCATATCACAAAGCCCTTTTCCGCCTTTCTTGTAGTCGACTATAAAACTGACACATCTAAACAGAATGATATCTGAGAAGACCACTGAAAGTACCAAAAGAACCAGGCTGCCTATGTGGCCCACTATTCTTGTCTATAAAGAAGTCACCGAAGTAGTTCAGATGAAAAAAAGCCCACATTCCATCGTAGCACATTGTCATCATAGTAAAAGCACACAATCACCTATATCACATGAGCTCCGCCAGTCAAGTCCATTGTTCAAACAATTGTGTTGGCGCCGAACTTCATGTTGAACTAGAAGATGACTGCATCCTTCAGCAGGGGGTTACTGATCCACTGTGTGACGGAGCAAGGATCCACTGCATCATGGAGGAATAGGATGTTACTTCATATCATCCGATTCGAAGGTGGCTGTTCCGCCCTATTCTTGAAAGAGAGCGTTTATTATAGAGTGACAGCTCATATAGGTTGCTTCGCGGTACCTGCGGTATAGCCTCCGCAGGTCGTACTGAAAGTATCCATAAGCCGAGAGTCTCTTGTTTTGCCAATTAACGATATGTATTAAATATAAAAAAATAATATAAAAATAACACATATAAAAGCAAAAAAGCAGATATAAAAGTGCATATGTAAATAATGAGGTGTAAACAGAGTTCCTAAAAATAAGCAAAACGGCCATGACGAAATCCCCAAGCTCCCCTACCGCCCTTGCTCTCCCCGTTATTTCACACATATCTAGGTACACTTCTTACCACTTCCTTAATTCAAATCAATTCCCATCACAATTAACACCATGTTCGCCCGCCGTATTGCAACCAACATCCCCCGCGTTCGCGCGCATGCATCTCTCTTCCATAGCACCGCGCCCGCGTTTGTGCAGAAGGGCGACGCCATCCCCAACTTGGACGTCCTGGTCGAGAACTCCCCCGGTAACAAGGTCAATTTGGCCAAGGAGATCAAGAACAAGGCTGTCATTATTGGCACACCGGCTGCTTTCAGTACGTGAACTCACCCTATTTTCGTAAGGAATCAAAAGCTCCTTTTCGGGACTAACATTTTTCAAGGCCCTGCGTGCTCCAGCACCCATGTTCCTGGTTTCATCAACCACCCCAAGCTGAAGGAGGCTGGCCAGACTTTCGTCATCTCTGTCAATGACCCCTTCGTGTAAGCTATGATGTCCAATTGTTGGGTGAAAAGCTTTGTTGGAACATTTGTTGACAAAGCTATCGTATAGGACCAAGGCTTGGGCTGATTCCCTTGATCCCTCCGGCAAGAGCGGTGTAAGTTCTTTCTTCCTTTTGCTTTTGTTTGATTCTAGCGACAGAGCTGATGTTTCATTTTAAACAGATTCGCTTCCTCGGTGACCCCACTGGAAAGTTCACCGAGGCGCTCGATCTCAGCTTCGACAGCAGCGCTATCTTCGGTAATAACCGCAGCAAGCGCTACGTCCTGCTCGTCGAGGATGGAAAGGTCAAGGAAGCTTTCGTCGAGCCTGACAACACCGGTCTTAACGGTATGTATTTTCTGTCGAGTACATATGTACATTGTTCTATGCTAACATCACTTGAAAGTTTCCGCTGCCGAGAAGGTGCTCGGTTGAAGTCATCTTTAGATAGATCTCTAATATCCCTGCAAATACCAGTAGAAGGAAAATATATCATGGGCCCAAGGCACAAAATTTATTTCTGGTCCCTGCTGCACGGTATTTCGCAGTGCAGGATTTTAATGTACAAATATATCATTCTTTCCAACCCGGTAAACGCCTGATAATCGATCCCAGAATCAAATGGGCAAGCATATAGTTGAATGAATCGAGCAATTAGAAATCAATGGCCAATCACGCCTCAGGCATTGGTTTGGTGCACTTTTCTTCCAATTATCTCCCTGGTTCTTGAAGCGGCCATAATTCATTATATCACTGCCTCTTGGAAGATCAATTACTGCTGCAGCGCCTGCCACTGCTCGGGGGTATAGCACTTGGGTGTCCAAGCATGAATAGCAGCGATCTCGGCCTTGAGCGCGGAGTTGACGAGCCGGTGTCGCGCAAGCATAGTCTTGCTCTCGAATTGAGGGGAAACAATCACAGCCTGGAATGCCTGTCCACAGCCACCTAAATCGACCCAAAAATACAGAACGTCAGCGATCAGCGGTAGAAAAAAGAGAATATTTCGTCATTGCGCCATTCCCATTTTCATTTTCATACCCGATAGATCCTCAACCTCCACATGCTGCGCCTGCAGCGTTTCGGTCAACTTGTTCTTCAGGGATTCTGCGGTGATTCCAGATGTGTCGGCCATAGCAGCGTTGATGGCGGCGTGCGAGCGTGCGTTGAGCGAAAACGAGACCCGCTGGATGTTATTGTGAGGGCGGAGGAGATAGCGGCAGCTTCTGCTCAAGACGGTGAAGGAGGAGGTGCGGGAGAACATCAAGTATGGTCTGAAGGGAGAAGGAGAGAAGACGAGAGAAGATAAAGAGCCAAACCCGAGGTTATCGCGAAGTATGGGAGTTTGCCTTTATTACAAATTCGGAGCCTCCGGTCGGCTGTGGCTGGTGAGTGCACGTGTGTGTGGCTCATTATCAGTTTCCGTCCGTTGTTCTTCTGTCTTCAACGTGTTGACGCCTCTCTATGAATTTTCTTCGCGCTGCTACACGTCGATACTCTGCCATGCATATGCCAACTAAATCAGAATGCTCACCGTTCACCCATTGCGTGGTGAGCGCTATGAGAAAGCTGTAATTACCTCCCCCACTCGATTCCAGAGCTCCCCGCATTGTATGGAGCTTCATTTAACCTCTTATATGCAGATACCCGGAGGCGCTGGCAGACAAGAGCTTCGATAATACGGGATGTAAGCTCTTTCTTTTCTTCTTTTTGAAATATCATTCCATTGGCTTTCGCAATGTGCTGACCTCGCTCAACTGTAGTGCTCCTTGAAGCTCCTATCGACAAGACTCCTTTCGACAAATCCCGGAAACTGAACAACTCGGTCCTCCTTACTATTGACCTCACTACGGCTGTTGCCGATGAAGCCATTGAAAAGCGTCACTCGGTTATTGTCGCATACCGTAAGTCACATCCCAAGGAATTAGCATACATGCAATCAGACATCTCGTGAACGTCAACAAATGTCTACAATTGAACCACAAAACCTAACACTATACCTTCCCTACAGACCCAATCATCTTCCGCGGCCTGAAGTCCCTTACCTTCGCCGACTCCCAACAACGGTCCCTCCTCCGCCTAGCGCAGCATGGAATCAGCGTCTACTCCCCGCACACAGCAGTCGACACCGTTCCCGGCGGCATGGCCGACTGGCTCTGTGACGTAGTGACAGGAAACTTTAAACCCGTTAAAGAATCCCCGAAAGCTACCATCGAAAACTGCAACTCAAGCATGTACTCCGCCCCAACCTACCCGGAATCACCCATCCCCGCAGTGCAAGCCCCATCTTCGCAAGGACCGGCGCACACCAGATCCACAATCCACCCATCTCCGCCAGCCTCGATCCCGGAAGGATTCGAGTCAGCCGGCGCCGGCCGTCTGGTGACTTTCGCCAAGGAACAGCCGCTCACTACCCTGATTGACAACATCGCCTATGGAATTGGCCTGCCCGGCGGTATCCCCATCGCCATCCCGCAAGGCATGTCTGTTGATACTATATCCATCCGCACAGTTGGCATGTGTCCCGGCTCGGGCTCGGGCGTGCTCCTCAAAGGTGATGGCGAGCTTCCTGATCTCCTCCTGACTGGTGAAATGAGTCACCACGAGGCTTTGGCTGCCACGGAACGTGGGTCTGTTGTTATTTCGCTTTCGCATACTAACTCGGAACGTGGGTATCTGCGTTCGGTGATGCAGCCTAAATTGCAGGACGAGGTTACGGAGCAGTGGAGTAAGGCTTTCTTGGATTCTATGAAGGCTATTGACGACGTTACTAAGTTTGGTGGGCTTGCACCATCGTCAACTGCATTACTGACTCGGGACCTTTATAAGGAGAAAGGCGTTGCTTGGGTTTCTGTCAGTGAGGCTGATCGTGATCCCTATGGTATTATGATTTGGCGTGGTAACTAGACTTGCTCTTCTGTGCTGCCCTTGGGTCTGCCCGTGATATCTAACAAAATGAGATGAAAAGCGATAATTAGTCACAATTAGACATCATGAGAACATTTTGGTTCACACGCACGAAAGTATTTCAGCTAGAACCCAATGAATTTGACTACATAAAGTTGTAACCACGCTTGGACTAGAGTTATGCAATAGGAGTCTGATAAGGTGGCAAGAAAGTGGTTTGAAATGAGAAGGATATCCTAATGGCAGACAGTGACGGAAACAAGAAAGTGTCTTGAGAGAATAGAAGACAAGATGAAGGACCCAGGTCAAACCTCGAAGAATGCAGGTTATCGAAGACGCGAAAGAAAAAGAAAGCTTGAGTTTTTAGCCTTCCCTTCACAGCTTCATCAAACCCACAGCTCATGGATGTAGGAAGATTGTGGTATCGGGTAGCGATGGGGATAGAAATGAAGGAAACAAGAACAATGAGACCGGGTAAGAACCAGACAACCAAGCCCCCGAATAACTGAACGAGAAACAGAAAGAAAAAAATGAGATAGATGGTATCCGCGTGAGTGGCCTTAGCGAAGTCAGGAATGAATCAATAAAGAAGAGCCCCACGAAACAGTGACTACAGATCAATCAGGCTGCCACCGCGCTGTTGCTGTTGCTGTTGCTGACCTCCCCAAGGGTTGTTATTGGTAGGCTGTTGCTGTTGCTGAACATAGCCTGTCTGCTGCGGCACACCTGTGAATTGTTGGTTGAAGAATGGGTTTCCGGTGGCAGTAGCATGTAAGCGGTCCAAACCCTGACCAGCAGAATTGACGAATGTGCCGGGTGCTGTGTGCTGTGCGGGAATTCGAAGGTCTCCAACATTGCCGAAGGTATCCTGGCCTTCGCCCGACCCGAGAAGGGCATTGAGACGAGCATGGTGAGGGTCCTGTGGTGGGGTACTCTTTGGTGGCTGTGGGGCTTGGAAGCCAGCGATCGGGTTGGGCTGAGTGGGTTGGGCGAAGAGCGAGCTTTGGCCATACTGTGCATTGTTCTGGGCAAACTGATTCGTTGCACGGTCCTCCGACAGGGAATTAAGTGTTGGTGGGCCTGTTTGTGCAGGGTTGTTGAACTGTGTTTGAGTACGCTGAGCGAAGGGGTTGTTTGATCCTGTCGGCATGGGCTTGAGGGCATCAGCGGGTTGCAGATGCTGCTGAGACTGGTTTCCGGCCCATGGGTTGTTGCTTCCTGCGTTTTGGTAGTTCTCCTGGGGCTGTTGCTGCTGCTGCTGCGAGAAGACATCCCCTCCATAAGGGTTGTTGGGGTTGAATGCGGTGTGTTGGGGTTGAAGAGTTGCCTGGGGTTGCAAAAGGTTATTCTGTTGCTGGCCGTAAGGGTTCTGATCAAAGGCCGAGGGCTGTGCCTGGTAGCTGTTGGCGTAGGGGTTATTCATGCCGGTGGGCTGGTTTTGGAATCCTGTCGGTTGCGCGTACTGGTTGTTCAAGTAGCCGGTCGTCATAGGCTGTTGCGCATTGATCGGGTTGCCAAACCAGTCCACAGCACCTTGCTGTTGGTAGCCCTGGTTGTAGCCGGTTGGCTGGACTTGAGCTGGGGTGTCATCAAAGAGAGCCTGGGCGTTGCTCTCTTCCAATTCGCGCTTCCGGAGTTCCTCCTCCTCCCTGCTAAGCTTGATGGCCTTGGCAAGATCCTCATCGTCCTCAGTCGCCCTTGCTTCCTTGGCCCGTCGCTTGCGCTCATCCTCTTCGGCCTTGCTAGCTTCAATAGCTAAGCGGTATTCAGTGTCGGAATCATCATCTCCGTTGCGTCGGCGTCGGTCTCTGCGCGGTGGTTCCACGGGGGAGTGTCCGTAGCCTTCATCGAGTCCGCTCACGCGAGTCTTCCAGAGTTTGCGATCTGAGCGTTCACTGCGTAGACGATCTTCATCCAGTACCAGTGCAGTCAATTCCTTTGCTGCCACCCGAACTACAGAACACCAACCTGTCAGTTTTGCAACCCCTCTGGTTTTCCAGGAACAACGTACCGTTCTGGCCAACATCTCTTCCTTCCTCATCCACATATGTGAACTCGCGCAAAGTCTTGATAATATAGACATTTTTCCGGGCCCATGTTACCACCAACTCTGAGCCTTCGTGGAGACAGTAGTCCAAGACCTTTAGTGACTTCAGCACGTGGCGCCAGTTCTTGCCCTTATCGTTGAGTCGCTTGTCAAGCATGTCCATGATCTCGTAGAACTCGTTCGGACTATTATGCAAATGGCGTTAGCGGCACCCACACGGTTGATCGCTGCCTCAACTCACCTCCCGAAAGTCATGGCGGCAATCTCGGACATGTCGGTGCCCGTAGGGCCCCAGGGGTCATTACTAGTGGCTGAAAAAGAAAGTTAGCAACTTGGTTACAATCTATGCGGGGTGCAGGGGCGCAATGCAGCAAGCAAACCCCCAGGAAAAGACAGGGGCATTAAGCTGGGGTAACAGCAGTTCTAACATGCGCCCGCAACTCAATAATCGCTCGGAAGTTTGATGTAGTGAAATTGGCTCGTACCATTTCGAACCTTGACCTGCACTGAGGAATATCCTTTTGTGACGTTCTTCACGCTCCGGACGACTTTGGACATGGTGGCGGTGATGTGACGGTCGCAATTTTAATATGGATAAATCGTAATCGTCGGAAATTGATGTGAAGGAGTAATGTAGAAGAGTATTAGGCTGCCAAGCACACACAGTCCTCTTTCTCCGTGTCGCGGCCCAAGATAGTTGTCAAGCGAGTGACTCCTGCCTTGAAATGGACAGGGTGGCAGGTACAAAGGTGGTGAAGGGGGATTGGACTTTGGATTGCCTGAAAAGGAAATATTGGCAAACGATAGTCGACAGACAACGGTTGAAAGGTGAAAAGTGAAAGAGAGGAGAGGGGATGGCGCGAACGGGGGGGAATGAGAGGGCTTGGCAGTGACGAAGCAGTTTGGACCAAACTTTTTATATTGGCACTGTTCAAAAGATCTACAGTTGGAAACCTTGTAGAGTTGGAAGATTTTTCATTTCATTCTCAAGAACAAGAATCAGCATTAAGATCACTAAGATGGTCTAACATGTATAGTGCATGTCCAAGTTCCGTTACGCCCTCGTGGCCGGAGGTCCGGTCTAATCACCGTGAGCTTACTTTTTCTCCTTTTTTTTTTCCCTTTTTCCCGATATATATAGCCTAGAACAAACAATTCACTATGTAACTTCTATACATTGCATTTTAGTCTGACATTAAAATCAAAGCCAATTACAATTGTTTGGGTATCAAGAAGCCTAAGAGAAAAACATGGCATGTTACCCGCCACATGTGGCGGCTTTGGGCCGCGTAATAACTCTTGATCAGGCTCAGGCAACAGTCAATTGGCTATACTTTTTATATACAGATACCATATGTACCTTGGTAGTACATGTTGTTTATCTTATATTCATTTTACTGTGTTATCTCTTAGGAAAACCAGGCTACGTCATTTGCTCTTCTAGAATGCAATGATACTCTTGGCGCTCCGATCGTAGGTCCACATTGGGGTTGATATCGGAAGTTTTATATCCCATTTTTTACTACTTTGAAGTTATCTCTGATGTAAAATAAACCTCTGATAATTCTATTGTATGACTAGGTGCTGATGATTGAGTCATGCTCTGTAGTTCATATATGTAAATGACCATTGAATTGAATGATCTATGGGCTGTACATAGGATATATCTACAATAGGACTCGTTGGAGTAATCACTACTACATACGGAATCTCTGAATACTTGGCCGATATTCTCTTCCCTAGGGACTCTAATTCATATATAAGGATGAGTTATAACCATAAGGTAGAGTAGGAGGGGTAGGTATTGGGCGATTTATACCTGTCATCTTATGGTTTCTGAGGGCTGGAAAATTGAAAAATGGTGATCGAGAGGGGAAAAAAGGAAGAGAAGTTGAGGACGAGAGGGGGTTTATACTCCCAGCATACGCACCTTCCCTGATCAGATGGTATTGCTCTTTCCCATTCTGTAAAACATTTGTTTACACGGAGTTCTCGAGGAAGGAACCCTATAGTGCCCGGTTTGTGTTCGAGCACTGTGATTTCAGATGGATACTGTAACAATACAATTTCTGTAACATTCAAGTTGAATGCTCCAATGTCATCTGCAAGTCTCCAAATATATATTGTTCAAGAGACTCAAGCAATTCCATCAGACAGTGTATCAGCAATACTTCCAATGAACCCTTTATTCTGCATCCCGTCCACCCATTCGCTAGGAATCGAGTCAACCCCATAGAACGTGCCGGCAAGACCTCCATAAACAGCCCCTGCGGTATCCGAGTCACCACCCAAGTTGACAACTGCCAACGCCCCTTCCTTCCAGGTGTCATACTTGAAGAATGCCCAAAGGGCGCACTCTAGTGTATCGACAACCCACCCACTGCTGGTTATCTCACTAGGCGCCTTGGATTTCCAGTCGTTGATTGTCCTATATCTGTATAGTGACATACGCTCCTTTAGATCAGGGTGAGTAAATGGGAACACGGATAATGCATGGAAGAGTTGCTTCTTCGTTTCACCTATCAAAAATGTCAGTGGCAAATATCGAAAGAAGTCGGAATCAGCACCAACCATTCATAGCCTTGCACACCAACTCCGTATACGCTTCACAGGCTTCCACACAAGCCATTGAAGGATGAGTGATCTGGCTATGCTTTCTGGCGACTTCCCTCGCCAATGTAGAATTATTCCAGTAAACAACCCCGATGGGGACAATCCTCATCAAGCTCCCATTGCCAGAGTACTCATTGTAATTCAATGCATCAATGACCATCACCTGTGCAAATTCGAAATCTCCTCCCTCCATGCCATACTTAATCCATTTCCTCAGAGAGATGCGAGTGGATCTTCCTACATCCCACGAGTGACCGACAGTGCCGAAACGGCCTTTGGTTAGCCAGTCGACAAAGTATTCAATTGACAACGTATGGTTGTATTGCATATCGGACTTGGAGAACGAGCATGCCAAGGCTAGAGTCATAGACCCATCATCAGAGTAGGATCTTGTTCATGTTAGTTACAGGGGCTCCGCATGCATCTCTGTCATAGAAACTAACCCAGCTGGTTGACTGAAGGGCTCGACATATCTTAGGGTTGTGATCGGCTTGAATGTTCCTGCATCTCTGAATTGTACTGGGCCACCGAGTGCGTCTGCTACACAGACCCCCCAGATAGCGCCTTTGGCTCGAGATTTCAATGATGGAGACATGTTTGGATTTGTTTTATCCAAAGGCGATTTCGTCTTATTTAATCTCGAAAAGGTCTCGTCTGAAATGTGTGACTCAAAGACGAAACAATGGAAAGTTAGAAACCTTCGAATATTAAGTAAATATTGAGTCACCGCAGGGCTGAGCAGGGGGACTAAATAAGAAAGTAATATAGAACCTTACTTAAAAGCGACAAGCGCAAAGAGCTATAACTTCAATACGAGCCTTCCAAGGTTGGGAGTTATACGGAGACTAAGCCTCACGCTAGGCACCCGTCCACACTACCCAACTCTGAGGTCAGGTGCTGTTATCTGAACACCTCATCTCTAACTCTGTGGCTGATGATATTCTGGCAAAATTGCCCTTTAAGATAAATGTAGCAAGGTACGATTCAGCAGCTTATACTCGAAGTGTTTAATTTCCTAAACACCTATTTATGACGAGGTCAGACAGCTTCTTTCACAGGCTGCCCATTAGTTTCCTTCGCCAAATCCTCTACAGTTTTCCATTTCCATAGTTTCTGATCAGGGTTAACAAGATCATTATCGTTCCCAAGACAACCAGGAATATGAGCAATACTTCCATCACCCATCAAGAACCACATATAGGGAGCCGGATCCCATGAAGGCTTAGCAATAGTCTTCGTCTTATATTCCTCATATGGGAGGCAGTCAATATCAATACGTCCCGCACCAGCAGACTCCATAATGCCCGCGATCTCTGCAACCGAGCGCGAGTCACCGCCAACATGAACAATATTAGGGATTTTCTCTACCGGCATAGTTGCCAATGAGGCAACCGTCCTGCCGACATCGCCAAGAGAGGTAAAAGACACCCGTGTGCGGAACGACCCAACACTAGTATACTTCCCGTTCTGAGTGTCGAGACCGAACCATGGCCCGATACTGTCTTCCAAGAACAGGCCGCAGAATACGCGGCAAATCTTCATGTGCGTGACGACTGGCTGCGCGTTTGCCAGATGCTTCTTCTTCTCGTGCCACTCTAGGTGGACGAAGTTGTGGCCGTAGTGGTCGACGCCGAACTCGGAGGGGAAGTAGACTTGGATGTCAGTTCGGGGGAGGGCGGCTGCGATCTTTGTTTTGAAATCGTGCCCTGTGGGCCCGATTGCGTTTACGAGGATTTGTATGCCTTGTAGCGTTTCTTCGAGGTTGTTCTCGTTGTAGCGACGAGCTGTGAGTTTTACGCCAGATTGGGAGGAAGAAGGTTGGAAGAGACATGATTCATTTCTTGAGAGGAGTATTATCTCGGAGAATTTGTCTTGGAAGGTGGAGGAGAGGAAGGCTGTTGTGACGTGCTTGCCTAGATGCCCGGTGGCTCCGGCGATGGCAACAACTGGTCGTGTTATGGATGACATCTCTGCAGTTACTCAAAGAAAAGACTGTTTGGAATAAAAGGATGAGAGGGAAGCTGTGGTGAGTTTCAGCTTTATATCTATAATGTTGTACCCTCGATTATCTTTGCGTCATTAGCCACACACCCCGAGGTCTGGACCAACAGCCCTAATTAACCCACAGTGGCTTATTTTGGATACAAAGGAAGCAGTGCCCAATTAGATCAAATGAGATATAGGTATTCTATACCTATTGACATAGAAGTGTTTACATTGATGGCCCAGGCTTGATCCCGCTCCCATATAAGTACAACCCAGTGAAAATTAGTCTATATCAGAATGGGCATTTACATTGCGCTGTAACGTTTCATGAAATTCTCTCCTATACCACATACATAGTAAATCCAAAACTGATTAGTGTGTGACTGAGAATGTTGTTCGTCCCCGCATCAAAACACCAGATCCCATTGTGTAATCCGAGGGACCGACGCTTCTGCTAAAAAAAATGTAACTAGTCTTTTTTGCCCTTTTATTCCTAATCCAAGTCCTCACATTACTTCTCCATGCTTAGATATTTCTCCTCAGCTCCCTTGATGCACGCAATGTTAGCACCGAGCTTGTTGATCGTCTCAATGTACTCATCATAGGGGTCCGAGTCAAAGACAATACCACCACCAGCCTGGAGGTATGCAACGCCGTCCTTGACCATCATAGTGCGCAGCGCAATGCATGTATCCATTGCACCGGGCATTTCGGCCGAGCCATCTACATTGGCGCTGTTATATCCGAAGTATCCTACAGCGCCAGCATAGACACCACGCTTTTCACCCTCCAGCTCAGCGATGAGCTGCATAGCACGAACCTTGGGCGCGCCGGAAACTGTGCCAGCAGGGAAGATAGACCGGAATGCATCAAAGCGGGTCATGCCTGGCCGCAACACTCCTGAGACTTGGGAGACCAGGTGCTGGACGTGTGAGAATTTCTCCACAACCATCAGTCGGTCGACTTGTGTTGTGGTGGGGTCGCAAACCCTGTTCACGTCGTTGCGGGCAAGGTCGACCAACATGACGTGCTCTGCGCGGTCCTTGAGACTGCTACGGAGCTCCTCGGCGAGGGCGGCATCCTCCTCCGGGGTCTTGCCCCGTTTCACTGTGCCTGCGATGGGGTGGCTGATGATGCGACCCCGCTCTTCCTTTACTAGGAGCTCAGGACTGGCTCCGACAAGCTGGAAGTCTTGGCAGTCGATATAGAACAGATAGGGAGAAGGGTTGACGGTGCGAAGGTGGCGGAAGAGATTGTACGGGTGGAGAGAGGTGGGTCGTGATAGCCGCTGTGATGGCACGGTCTGGAAAATATCGCCCTTGGCGATGTGCTGCTTCAATCGCTTGACGTGACCTTCATATCCCTCCTGTCCGATGTTGGATGTGTACTCTTGGTTCGGAATGATCGGGCCCTGAGGTGGAAGTGGTGTGCGGTCCTGGAGTAGCGTATCGATCGTTTTCTGGATGATGGACTGGCCCTTGAGGTATGAGGTCTCGATATCGGTATCCGCCGAGGGAATGGGAACGTATGTAATGACCTTGACAACTTGGAAGAAATGGTCGAATGCAATGATGGTGTCGTAAAGCATAAAGAACGATTCGGGCACTCCAAGGACGTCCTTCATCGGCCGCGCGGTCTTGGGCTCAAAGTATCTAACACAGTCATATCCAACATATCCGATCGCTCCGGCGGTCAACGGTGGGAGGACTAATCCAGGTACTGTCGCGACGCGGAACTGAGAAAGCTCAGCCTCGAGATATGGGAGAGGGTCCGCTGCTGGGCCATGGCCCTCGCCGGTCTTGATGACCTTTCTGGGGTCTGAATGGGAGGAAGGGTAAGCGATGGACTCGGATCAAGACTCCCGGTATCACCAACCTGCGCCAACAAAGCTGTATCGCCCAATAGTCTCCGTGGTAGCAGCACTTTCATACAAGAATGATAACCGCGAGCTATTCCTGCGAGTCAGCGATCTTGTCCGGTATTTCATGCCCCGCCTTATCGCCAATGTTGAAAAGAATCCAATGACTCACTTCTCCGCAATCTTCAAGTATGCCAATGTTGGGGTTAAGAGGTCGGCAGGGATCGACGCCGTAACAGGAAGTAGATTGGGAGGGAACTCGGAATTCCTCGACTGTGAGATCACTTCTCGCGCCGTCTCAAGGGACGGGATGCTGGCGACCTGAGTCATTGGTCAATGAGCATAAACAAAATCCCAACGGGGTTATCGGCGAGTAGAGAAACACAATAACAAGACGGACTCATACTTACAGGAGTTCCCATTTTGTTAAAAGTGGCTGATATTGACGATACTAGTCAAGAGAAAGGATTGAATTGGCGGTGGAAAATGATTCACTGTGGGGGGTGGGTATGGATACTATCGGTCCAGGAATGCGCCCGACCTGCACTATTAGATTTGAGGACAAGATAACACAGATCAATTTCAGGGCTCTTTATAAATTAACTGAAAAACAAGACCAGACTAAGCTCCGTACATGTCTCGTGTCTCACGAGTGTGTCCATGTGGCCTTGATGATATGCATCTAGAAACGGACTAGCGTCGAGGGGTATATCGATTATCGATAAAGGGACTATGGATGGATGTATCCTATGTTTGTACAGACACTTCCTTTGAAAATCGGGGTATGTTCTTGATTACAAGACACTAGAAGTGAGTTTCAGAAATCACAGATCCCACCGGAAATGGGGTGAGGTGAAAAAATGGAAAAAAAAGTCCTCCGTCGCCAGTCCATGTCATTCGCCGTGCCCACCAAAACCTGTCCCAAGCAATGCATGCCATTATGCATTTTCTAAAGAAAAATGTATGTTCACAGAAAGTAATAAGTAAGGGGGGAAAACGGAGAAACCATGGTGATATGTCTTCGATGGAAAGAAATTGAAAAAGGCTTTTCAAGCGGGATTGACAGATTAGTTCAAGCAGGGCATGAGTCGTGAGTTTTATGTGGCTCCAGGTCTGTTTCAAACCCGCTTTGTCATCGTTGCAAATTTATGATTGCCATCTTGGGAGATTAGACTGTCAGTATGGGGGACATTGACACCCGTAAACAGACCAGAATGCATACCTGTTTACTGAAGCCATAGGCAAGTCGTTTGCCATCTGCATCCCAGGAAAGGGCTCGATGGGGGTCCGGGTTTGAGTGACCATTCTGTCCATGGTGTCCATTATGTCCGTTGGTCATGCGGTCGACTTCCTCTTTCTTCACCTCAGGGCTAGTTGCAGTCCAGGTAGATATGAGATTACCACCGGGGTGTTCAATGTTCCAGATAAAGAGTCCGTCCTTGCTAGCTGCACCGAGAGCATATCCATCGGGGGAGAAAGATCCGGTAATAGCGGGGTTTGAGTCTAGGCTCAGCTGATGAAGGTTCGTGTAATCCTTTGTATCGAGGTTGACCTGCCAGACCTTGACCTTACCATCCGCCGAGAAAGAGGCAAACTCAATCCGATGGGGATCAAATTGAGGACTGATATCAATGCCGGTGATTCTGTCCTTGTGGGCGTTTGAGATCAGAATGTCATGGGTGGGGATCCAAATCGAAGCGCTCAGTCCAGAAGCCACGATAGCGACCGAATGGAACTCGGTTTGGACACAGCGAATGAACTCCCAGGTTGCGTTATCTCTGGGAGAATCGAATGTCTTAACCAAACGGAGACTGTAGTCCACTTCGCATTGATAGACTGCACCATCACCAGCAGCAAATGCCAGGTTGCGCCCACACCACGCGAGATCATAAACATGGTTCTCAATTATTTGAGGTGGAGGGAAAACATCTGGTCGGCGGCCGTCGTCCCAAAGTGCAAGTTCGGATACGTTATGATTCGAGGCTACAACAATCAGTTGCGAGCTACCGGCTGCCCAGTGCAAGCCAGTGATAAGTCGGGGTACCTCGGGTAGTAGATCCACTGCGTCTCCATTGACGTTGTACATGGTGATAGTGCCCCTGTCATCAGTACAAGTCGCGACAGCCAATTTCTCACCAATGGCATCCCAGGCTACGGTCGAGACAGTTGTGTCGCCCCTCTTGAGTTCGAGAATTTTCTTCTGAACGGGCTCTGATGACACCGACAGTCTCCATAAGCTGCAAAAGAAATCACCAGCTCCCACAATCACAGTAGGATCTTGAGGGCGCCATACAACATGGGTCACGTGATGATCCGGATTCAGTAAGGCGGTGTTGGGGGTCAAATCAATGGGCTTGGCGGGGGCGATCTGGACGCGAGCGCTTTCGCCGTTTTCCAAAGTGGGTAGTTCAGGGATCTCCTCGGCCATGCTGACATCACCATCCTCATCCATATGATCAGTATCTGGCTGACTTTCAGTTTGCGCCTTGTCCTCCATTGACTCATCGCTATCAGTTTCATCCTTTCGGGTATCCTTTCCGGGCTCGGCATGGCCGTTCACCGGGCGGTCGCGCGCAAGTTGGCCCGGCGAATCTGGGTCCTTGCCGACAGCCCCATCGCGACTGTCCACTGACCCAGTTTTGGTTCCAATTTCAAAGGGCTCTGGTCCAAAAAAATAATCAGACGGTGAAATGCTTCTCTGATTGCCCTCCTGTGCATTAAGTTTAGTTTGATTTTCAATTAAGGAATCCCAAAGGAAATCAGTTTTCCCCCCCTTGGCGCGTAAGAACTGTTTAAAATGAAACACATACCTTGTCTAACGAGGATTCCATCTCGTGGTATTGCAGGCCTTTCTGGACCAGCGACACCAGCGCATGGGTTTTAATGTAAGGCGCAAACGGGAGTGTCTGCGGATCAGGGAACCACGCGCGCTGCAGAGAGACAGCGGCATCGCCATGACCTAGTTTGAGTTAGAGGTCAAATTGTGGAAAGTCAAGGGGCAATATGACCAACCTGATTCTTGGAGGTACCTAGAAAGATATTAGTTCTGCGGCAGATGCATAGGTTTGCATTACACTCACCTCCATATTAAATAGTTGACATGATGCGACGTGAGGTCAGGTTGTGCCATGATTACATGTGCGACCAGCTAAGGGCCGCGGACATGCCAGAGAGGGAAGAGCTGTTTTGCCGATGAAAACCAATGTGGAGGCTTTGATGCGCGGAGACGGAGCTTCAGGAACACGGAACACGAGGCCGGAAGTGAGTTGGAACTTCCGGATAAATAGAAAAGGGGGATGCTGGTATTTTCCGCAAAGAATTTAAGACTTTGAGAGTTGAAGATCGAAGAGAAAGCCAAGACAAGGGAGAAATTGGAGCTTTTGGGAGGGGAAAGAGACTGAGAGAGTAGAGGTAAGAAAAAGTGGGATTCAAGGTCAAGAAGAATGAAAGCTATTCGGTGGTTTCATAGAAATAGAAACCAAGTATACAAGGGTAGAGAAGAGAGAAAGAGAGAGTGTGTGAAATGAAGATCTGAGATTAAAGGATCCAGAATGTTTGGCAGAAGTCCATTTAGCACACACTAGCCACTTGGATCCTCCCTGTGGCGTCGGGGGTCCTCCACACTTCTTGAACTTCTTTTCACCAAGTCAAAATTTTTCTTTTTTTTTCTATTTTTCTTTAACATTAGAATTTTTAAGTCATTCTAATAAGACTTGATCAAATATTGAGATCTATTTTTACAACATTGTGACTTCTCTCTTGTTAAGCGCCCAAAAATGGGGTTCTCCACACATCGGGGGATTTCAGCACGAGCACCCTTTCAATCCAATTCGAAGTACTATATTGCTCTGTGTCACAAGTTAACAACTTACACTTACAATAATATCTAACAGGGATTATACCATTCGGACATATACTAACCTGAACTCTCTGAACTGCATCTACCCGAAGCTGCAGGTCAATCGCAGGTGGATCGTGGCTAATGAAGCCGCCTACCTGACATTGGCTCATCTTATATCCTATAAGAAGTACTCTATAAGTACATATTTTTTTTTAATTTTTTACTTCTTTACTTATTTACGTACCTTATGTATGAACTTGTATTGAATATACTTTGGTAGGTTCCTTTCATCTACTCTAAGTTACCTAGAAACTCCTATTATGGAGTGTCTGATAGGTGGCTAAGTACTCCGTATGATGTTGGATGTTGGATGTTATGACTCTAATTATTTTTTCTAGATACAACCTTGGAAGTCTTCAATAACCATTTTATGTGCTTTTATTTTTGTCTGCTCACTCCGATCTAATCTTATATGCAAATCGATAGAACTGAAAACAAAAACAAACAAAAAAGAATAAAAGGTCAATAGTATGCAATTAACAAAGAATATGAGATAATGGCATGAAATATAAGTCAATAACCATAGTCGAGTCGAAAGCTACATGTAACTATGTGGTAGTTGTACAAAGTAGATTGTGCCTTCGATCTCGGCCAAAACATGGCTGATACTTCCGCCCTCAGGCGTCCGCAAAAGTCTCCCACCTCAACTTTCTCCCTTGTCGATCTGTAGCGTCTTGCAAGAGCTCCAAGCGAGCTCCAACATGTCGCTCCGAATTAACCTTCCCCCTGCGACTCGAATCTGTCTTGTCAGTCTTCTCACCCTCTCGCTACTCTACAATATTGCCAGATGGCGACAAATTGACACCACCGGCGGAACCCCGACCATCTCTCCTCTCGTTCCCTATCTAACCCTCGTGCCCTCATACTTCTACTATTATCCCTGGACAATCGTCACGGCAACCTTCGTCGAGCAGAACATATTCACCGTCCTGCTAAACGCCGCCACTGTATTCTATGGCGGCAAGTACCTCGAACGCGCGTGGGGCTCGCGCGAGTTCAGCAAGTTCATCGCGGTCGTCGCCGTGATACCCTGCGTCGCTATCATCCCAATTTACTTGATCTGGGGAGCAGTCGGAGGCTCTTCAACCAGAGCGTACGCACCGCCCATCTCCCTCTCCGCAATACGAGCAACTCGCTTTCCACTCTATACCAAACACTAACCATCTCATAAAAAATTAGCCTGACCCAAATCTGTGGCGGCGTCTCTATCCAAGCCTCCTTCCTAGTCGCCTTCAAACAGCTCGTTCCGGAACACACCGTAACAATCTTCAAAGGAATAATCAAGATGCGCGTAAAGCATTTCCCCGCTCTCTTCCTCCTCCTAAACACCATCAGCGGCCTCGCCATCGGAACACACACCGCTGCAATCCTATCCTGGCTCGGAATCCTCACCAGCTGGACCTACCTTCGCTTCTACAAGCGGCAGCCCGACCTAACCGGCACCTCGAGCGGCACAGGCATCAAAGGCGACGCCAGCGAGACGTTCGCATTCGCCTGTCTATTTCCCGACGTGATGCAGCCGCCTGTGGCGTTCGTTGCGGAAAAGATTTACGCTCTGCTGGTCGCATCTAATATCCTGACGCCGTTCTCAGCGGACGATATCGCCTCCGGAAATGAACTGGTGCTGGCGAGAGGCGAAGCGGGCTTGCCCACGCTATTGAATAGCCAGCGTGGATCCAGGGGTGCGGCTAAGCGCGAGGAGGCGGAGCGCAGACGCGCTATTGCGCTCAAGGCTTTGGATCGCAGGTTGCAGGCTGCCACTGCTGGGCGCCCGCAGACTCACTCGCCTGGCTTAGGAGAGTCTAGTTCGATGCCGCGTCCTGTTGCGACGAATCCGGCTCCGCCTGTTGGTCAGAGCATGCTGGGGGAAACGAGTTACAATCCTGACCATGCTTGAGTGTGGTCGAGTGCTTATTTGTTTCTAGCTCGGGCGTTTTGTGACACACTTTGGGATTTGGCCTTCTGGACATATTCGCATTCGTGGCATGGCTGGTTTCTGGCTTGATTTTTTTTATGCTGATAGTTATACGGATAGTGTGTGCACTTCTGATGATGTACATGATTTGTTCAACTTGGGGTTTTATTTCTAGTTATTAGGCTGATATCTTAGCGCCTGTGTGATGTGGCTTTTTGGCCTGTCTGATTTGTGTTTTATACCATACAAAGCTTGTATGCTAATTGCTATTAAAGCACCATTTTCACTTTGTTAATCTGTAACAGCCATGTTAATGGGGTATCCGCTCTATTTTACTATGTCGATCCTAACCGGCTATTTGCCTTCCACGTCCATCTCCATCTCAGCCTCCTCTTCGTCTAGCAATGGAATAAATCGAAAGTCCACAAAGCACACTGGTCCATTGGGACCTTTTACCCCAGCACCAATTGATCTGCCCACTGGTGCATTATGATCATCAAGCTCAACCATGAACTGTAAGCTCAACACCCCCTGCCGATCCCCACGGATACTGACCTTATTAGCGACAGACATGGCTCTCGCGGCCTTGCGGATCAACGCAAAGCGATACCTCTGTTGGATTCGATCGCCCATAGAAGAAGGAGGAGATACAAGGAAAGTCTCCGTGACCGTAGGTGCAAGCTTAGCTCTGGTTGCGCGAGCCCGGGAAGAGCCATCATCGAACAACACCTTATGCATTTGGGATTGGGTAGTGCTTTGACCAGCGCCACCGGCGATCTCGTTGTGCTGGTCAACCGAGAACTCCACAGTGGATTCACTGAACGGCCCGCCCGCACCAGAGAGCGCAAAGTACGGTTCTCGCTTGGCGCACGCGGACAGTTTCAGGATCGTAGGGGTGGAGGAGTCAAGTTCTGCGATGGAATTGTGAAGCCAGGCAGAGCGCATGATGATTTTCATGATGATGGCGTCACGCTGGAGGGGAATGTCTGCTTCGTCTTCGTCAGGCTCATAGGTTACTAGCTCGCAGGTTGTTTTCACGCCAGCTTCGGTGATGGTGATGCTCAGCGGGGCACCGTGTTGAGCGTATCGAAGGGTACAAGAGCGGTCCATGAGCAGGGCTGGGGCATTGAAGGCGCTTGACGAGGCGATGCCAGTTTGCGTGATGCTAGTGTCGCGGGGTCGATTGAACTCGGAGAGCTCGTTGATGCCAAAGATCTTTAGGGTTTCGAGGATTGCGGAGAGGGAAACGACAAAATGTGGGAAAGTCTCGTTTTGTGAGGAGTCATTGTCGCCTTGGGATGTTCCGTTCTGGTCGGTCGATGTGTTGAATGTGTAGCTGGTGAAGAGCGACTTGTCGAGGAAGGCTAGTCCTTGGATGACGCGGCCTTCCTCCACTGAAAATCGAAGGCCATCTGGGGTGATTTGGACGGTGGCCTTATGTGCGAAACCAATGCAGGAAAGCAGTGTGTAGAGATGGTGGGCGTTGTTGGTGACGCCAGCGAAAAGGGGCTCCATTTTATGGCGTAGGCTGCTAGCCAGAACTTTTCACGTGCGGTATTGACACAGAGCAAAGATAATGAGTCCGAAGATGCGTGATGGCTTTGGGTATTCTAGTAGTACAGTCCCCCTTGAACCCAACGCTTATGGTACATTTGAGGGGACGCGCAATAGGAAAGGTGGCCGGTTAAACGTAGACTCCGGCGGCGCAGATCATGAACACAGCTCCAAAGCTATCCAAAATATCCAGTCAGTAGATTGTACGTCAAAATATGGGATGTAGCGTATTACTAACCCAAACGCCAGTGCGGCCGGGAGACCCAAGGATGCGATGCCGAGAAAAGACTGATCTGTTTGAGAAAATGTCAGATTTCAATTCAATTTTATAAGATTTCGAAAATAACTTACTCAAGCCAAAGAGAGTGGCTGTAACCAATGCTAGCAAAATCAGTTAGAGATTGGCTATTTTTGAAGCTATAGACCAACAAGCTTACCGAGGAGGAGCAAGTTGAAGCCGACGGAGAACTGGCTGTCCTTGGTAATGAGAGGAGTGAATGGAGTTGCAGAGGCTGCCTCCCAGACTTCGTTCAGAGACATTAGGATTGAATTTGATAAATGTAATTGAGAGACAATTGATGTATGTCGAAGATAAAGTGATATAGATCGACAGGTGTTGATCTGGCCCGACCGGTAGTTAGTTGTTCCGACCGATACCCCGATGTCATGGATGTCGGCGCAAGGTCAGGTTTGAAGATCAAGGACATCATGACTGACTCGCCAAAGAGTAAGTGACCTGTTATAATCTTATACCATTGATATAATTTTAACGAGTCACGATGGCAGGTTTTAAGCGCAAAGCCTCCGAGGACGCAGCTTCCCCGGAATCTGGACTGCAAATCAAGAAGGCGCGCACAGATTCCCCTGTGAAAGAGGTAAGAGGTCCTATGTGCTGCTAAATTGCTTCGCATTTGTTCTGACTACCCCGCACAGGAAGATGGCCTGCTCAAAAAACCACCGCTCCGCATTGTTCCATTTCCTGAGAAGGTACTCTCCCTCCCACACCATCTTTGTCTATGCATGATGGCTGATGATACACAGGCCGCTGTTCTCGAGGAACGCCGAGGTGATATCGAGTTTCGTGTCGTCAATAATGATGGTTCACACGATAGCTTTATCGTCCTTACAGGCTTGAAATGTATCTTTCAGAAGCAACTTCCGAAGATGCCTAAGGACTACATTGCGCGCCTTGTCTACGATCGATCCCATCTTTCTATGGCTATCGTAAAGCACCCATTGGAGGTTGTTGGGTATGTTACAAGTGTCAAGTACTGGCGACATTAATGGAATTAGGATACTGATCAAGCACAGAGGAATTACGTATCGTCCATTCAACTCTCGAAAGTTTGCTGAGATTGTCTTCTGCGCTATATCCTCGGATCAACAAGTGAAGGGGTACGGTGCGCACTTGATGTCCCATCTCAAGGTACGCACGCTTACAGGTTGCGATTCCTACCCATGGATCTGTATCTAACTTGCCCATTTAGGACTACGTGAAAGCTACCTCTCCCATAATGCACTTCCTCACCTACGCCGATAACTACGCCATTGGGTACTTCAAAAAGCAAGGCTTCACCAAGGAGATTACGCTCGACAAATCAATCTGGATGGGCTACATTAAGGATTACGAGGGTGGCACGCTCATGCAGTGTACCATGCTTCCCAAGATCCGCTATTTGGAGATGGGTCGCATGCTCACCAAGCAGAAGGAGTCCGTGCAAGCCAAGATCCGTGCCTTCAGCCGCTCGCATATTATCCACCCTCCTCCGAAGGAATGGAAGAATGGGGTGTACGCAATCGATCCTCTTAGCATTCCCGCAATCAAAGAGTCCGGGTGGTCACCAGATATGGATGAGATGGCTCGCCAACCACGCCATGGACCCAACTACAACCAATTACTGCACCTGTTGAATGATATGCAGAATCACAGTGCGGCCTGGCCATTCACACAACCCGTGAATCGAGACGAAGTTCCAGACTACTATGAGGTGATCATGGAGCCTATGGATCTGTCTACCATGGAAGAGAAGCATGAGAAGGACTTGTACCCGACCCCGCAGGATTTCATCAAGGACGCCATGTTGATCTTCGACAATTGCCGACGCTACAATAATGAGACCACACCCTATGCCAAGAGCGCAAACAAGCTTGAAAAGTTCATGTGGCAGCAGATCCGGAACATTCCCGAGTGGTCGGTAAGTATTTACAGTGTTTCTCACAAGATAGATGCTAACTATGGCTTCTAGCACCTTGCCGATAATCATTGATCTGAGGACATACATTTGCAGCGATGGTGTTTTTACGGAACGGCGTTGGGGACATTGGGATTTGATGGGCAATACCCTGTTGATAGATTACATGCACTTTGCACTTTCCACTTATGAATTAATACCAGTTTATGAATTTCTCTTTTAGGGCCTCATGTTAATATATTTCATAGACAGGTAGGAAGTATAAAAACGTTTATATGCATGATAATATCTGATGCAATAACCTAAAACATCAACGTTAATTTCTTCCCCCTGACAGATCATAATCTCCCGGATCATTGTTGTTGCGATATTGAGATTGCAGGAATAGGCTTCAACTTCACCCTTACCTCGAGGCTCTCGTTTCTTACGTGTTCTGAGTTTCTTTGTTTTCTTTGTTTGCTGTTGCTCTTAAACCCACGTTCCAATCTTGAAAGGTGACTTCAGGGGCTCTCCCGATATCTGCATCGTGTCCCCTCACGAGTAGTTCAATTATTTTCGACTCTCGTTTCGCTCTCAATTCTCTATCACTCGCTTCCAATCGCCTATATCTTACTCTTCGAATCTTTTGGGGTGTGTTGAGATCGCTCAGTCGCCCGCCGACGCGACCTTACTCTCTCCCCCCTTTTGCTCCCCCGCTTTCGCTTTCAAATTCCGACGCTCGTTATTCTACTGCCTACTCTAAACGGCCGATATGTCTCATGACTTTGTTGACGCGGAGTCGCGTAATCGCCTACCGACCCTCTTTGAAGTGCTCAGCCGCCGAACTCTCGCCCCGGTCGACCTCTTTTCGTTCTACATTTACATGCGCGACCAGCAGCGGTCCGTAGACTACCTAGACTTTTGGTAAGTGTAGGCTCATATTCAATGCCCGTATACAACGTTAACCAATATTTGAAGGCTTGATGTATCACAACACATGCTACTGTGCAGACACTATGTCCGTGAACTCCGCCGTTCTGTGCTCGTCGCGACCCCCGATATGGAAAGAGCCGATAGCAAACAATCTTCTGCCATGCTAGACAATCTGGAGAACCTAGGTGATATCCCGCTGACGGAGGCTGGGCCTTCTCGTTTACGAAATGGATTCCAAGAGAATGAGAAGGATAGGGATGCCGACCAACGTCTGTCGGCATTTCTTCGCTCTGAAGGCCACACCACATCACCCCCCTCCCGGCA